TATGTGACACAGGATGATGTGACACAGGATGATGTGACACGTGATATGACACAGGATGATGTGACACAGGATGATGTGACACAGGATGATGTGACACAGGATGATGTGACACGGGATGATGTGACAAGGGATGATGTGACACAAGATGATGTGACACAAAATGATGCTATACAGGATGATGTGACTCAGGATGATGAGAAATGGGATGACGTGACAATGGATGATGTGACAAGGGATGATGTGACACAAGATGTGACACAGGATGATGTGATGCAGGATGATGTGACACAAAACGATGTAACATAGATGTGACGTAGGATGATGTGACGTAGGATGATGTGATGCAGGATGATGTGATGCACGATGATGTGACACAAAACAATGTAACGTAGATGTGACGTAGGATGATGTGACGCAGGATGATGTGAGGCAGGATGATGTGATGTATGACGATATGTGACACAGAATGATGTGACACAGGCTGGTGTGGCACAGTATGTGACAGTGTATGATGTAACACAAATGATTTGACACAGAATGTGATGCAGGCTGATGTGACACTGTATGATGTGGCACATGACTGTGTGACACAGGATGATGTGACACGGTATCATGTGACACAGGACAACTATGTGCAACAGAATAATGTGATACAGGATAATGTGAAACAGGACAAAGTGAACAGTATGATGTGACTCAGAATGATGTGTACAAACTAGCTTTAATTTAAGGCCCCATTTATACCCCATGCAAACATTATTGCCATTCAGATTTGTTATGGTAACAGTGAATGTCACAGTGAAACTTCAATTGTAGACGTCATGATATTAGTGCTGCTTTTGTTTTTGCATGAAGTATGAAACGGTCTTCATTCAGGATGCCTAGCTCATTACATCTCTTTTGTCTCTGGTGATTAGATTGTTGCAATATGAATGTAAAATTAAGCCTAGAATATTCCATTTCAAACATCATAGGGGAAAATATTTAAAGAAATACAGAATAAGAATGATCACCAAATGGTGCCCTTTTGCAAGATAAGAGCTTCATCTGGAATAAATACACAATGTACATATAAAATTTGTTGCTTCATCAAAAAGACAGAAATACACTCCAATTTCGGGCTGAATTTTAAACAAAATTGATGCGGGTATGTACATGAATATACACTGTCAACAAAAACAGAGTCTTTAGACAGGTGAATGTATGCTATCGCCAGTGAGAAGTGCCTCAACTTAATTTTGGCTGCTCTTTATTAATTTAGTTTGGCACTATTACAAGCTTACTTGATAACCGGCTTAGTGAAGTGTTATGGGTCCATTTTAAATAATGATTATATTGCCGCAGTTTTTCCAGCTCCAATGGTTTAAAGAACCCTCATTGTGATTTTGGCAGAGTTTAGTTGTTACTAAATATGTACAATTATTTATACTGTGCTCCTAAATCTGACAGTTTATATACATGTAGTTTTGGAAATTCACATTTCTACAGCTGTAAAACTGTAATCTTTTTACAAAATTGGCAGCACCTGAGACAGAATGTTTTTGTCGAAACAGTTGATTTTCATTCGAGCATAGTTTAGAAAATACGTTGCTGAATATTATCTTACACTACTTGAATTTCAGTCATGCATCCTAGCTATCAGTTGGTTAAAATTTCATTTGATCCCACACAAAAAGATACATGTACATGAACATGTATGCCGGGCTCTTTGGAAGAAATTGTATGGTTAGTACATTTATGGAACTAGAGAAATATGTGCTTAGAAAGTTCATAAAAAAGGAAAACCCCTTTTTGAAAAAAAAATCTTCAAATTTCATAACAACTTAATCTGTGATTTCTTGACTTTGTCTTTGACTTCTGACTTCCTGTCTGCTCTGCCTCTTTCTGTTGAACCTCCTTCCGTCTTGTCTCTCATCAGACCTTATCGTTTTATTCCCTTCACTGCAATTGTTGCACACCGCGTGCACCGGCCGAGAAGCACTCCGAGAAGCACTCCTCCGGCAGTGATAGACGGAAGCCGAAAGGCCACCAGTGAATTGGGAACGGAGTGTGTGATGAAGTGGAAACATTTTATCACTTTATGCGCTAGTGTACAAGACAGGAGTCCAGACCCGACTCAATAAGGAATCCAATGGACTGTTGGAGCTGCTGCTAATGAAATGAGAAAAGGCCAGCTCTGTTTTCCAGGTAAATTTGGACAGGACTCTCGCATGCCATTAGCATAATGGTTTGTATTAAGCTAGTGTCGAGAGCCATGTACAGTTCTATTTTACAATGCCCAGAATATTTTTTTTTTTTGTGGCTAAGATTCAGTATCTTTTAAGAGGATTACTGTGAATACAAATTGCAGTATTTTGTGTAAGGACATTTTTTTATGCAAATGCTACGTATTTTTGCCAGGAAATGTAAATTACCCTAACACATTCACATCTCTCTAAAATTCATGTGAAGCATGAACAAGTCTAAGAAACGGAAAAGAAAATATTAATAAAAATATGATTTTCGGGTGTAAAAGGAAACATGTGACCATGCAGTCAAGGTGTTATATCTGTATTATAAATATGTAGACATTATAAAATCAAAATACATCCAGCATCTTTGCATATTCTAACAGATCGAGATCAATCTCAGCTTCACCTGTGTAAACCATGAGGTATGAGTTACAGCTTTACCTAATACAACAATCCCTTCGGTCAAGTCCAATATCTCCATGGTGTGACTCATGCTTGACAGTTTGGTTAGCATTTTCACAACGATGAACGATTCCTGTCGACAATGGTCAATCAACTCATGCTTGCTTGATCAGAGCTTGAATTTTAAACGCGGATATGCATACTATACCTCAATTACTTGTTAAAATCAAATATGCTCTTGCAGTTGTGATGTGCATGTTCCTGTCAAGCAGTGCATGTTGTGGAACATAGTCAGGACACTGTGGCATAGGCTTGGCATTTGCCTCTGATTCTGATGAAATTTTGCACGGTGTTTTCAGAGTAAACAAATTTTTTATTTTAATCGGGGAACTACATGTAGTGTAATGAGGAATAAGTCCCCAAGGGTATGTGTGCATGGGACACGTATGCACGCCAAATATGTGAAAGTAGTATGGATCTCAGTAGGTTTTCTTTTATAATTCATGTGTAGTGGTCACCAAAGTCATAAACGTTGGTTGTTTCATGTGCTTCCTCTATGGTTGTTCCAAGATCACACAAAAAGAGTGCATGGTAACTGCATGGACTTCAATTATGGATCAAACCAAAATGTAGACAAAATGAAGTGCAATCCATGTGTGAACTTGAGACCAATTAAACAAGTTTATAAATGGAAGCTTTAGCTCATATTTTCATGGGGGGGGGGGGGGTAATCAGAATCGCCCATCACAAGAGAAAAAAGTTACAGTGAGAGAAGTATAAAGATACCTATTCACGTTTCGTTTGAACAATGATAGATTATATTTTTTAATAAGTTTATATTATATTATTTAATATGTCATCTACATATCATTTTAATTTAATTACAATTCGTAATTAAGTTTAAAGAATCCTGATTATGTCCATGTACAGCCCTCTGAAAAATCCTCCTAAGGACTGAAAATGGCTTTTTAAAAAATTAATTTTTTTTTTATGCTATTAGTTCAACAGTAGTTATCAGTTGTCATGTTAAAATTTAAGTGTAAGTTTTCCAAATTGTTTGTTTTATGTCTAAGGTGTTAGTTTCAAGCCAAGAAAGTGTTAAATATATCAGAAAACAGTTAAGTCAAACACTGCATCTGATTTTTACAGAGAATTAGTCACTGACTGGACATTTCTTTTAGGGTATTGCAAAAATGTGTATATTATCAGCTAAGTTCTTCGTATTTTTGATACTGCATCATGTGTGTGGTCGTGATTTTAGGGATTGTGTTTAACTAATAAAGAGCAGAACAGTCATGAAATGTACAAGAAATTTGAAGAAATTTCTCACAAACTGATTCCACAATGAGCGTTATGGACCAAAAAATATACTCATATTAAATGCATATATGCAACCAAATTCTTTTTCTTGCGAGGGGCACATGCTTTTTGGAATAACAAATGAACTTTATTTTAGTTTTTGTAAACACCACAATAACAGTTTCAAGATTATGGAATATTCTTGGATTCATTGTTTTGATCAAAATACATTCTGAACTAATATTTTTGTATACATTTGCACAAGCCGTAGATATTATATTATATTTTCTAAGGCTTTTTATGCATATTTTCATGCACTTTCATGTGCAATTAAGGCTGTGACTTTTGTCTGTTTTTCGAAGAATTAATATTTTAATGCAGTCACACATGAAGCCATTTAATTGACATAACATTTTTTCTCATCGATCTTAATGTAATTGCTTTTCGCTTCCCTTCAAACTGTGTTTATCTTGCTTTTAATGTAATGTGGGGAAAAAAGGCTAAAGAAGACAGGAAATTATCGCCCTCGGTGAAATGATCACTCCCTCCCAGAACAATTATCCAATCAGTCAAGTTGGTCGTGGAGCAATCCAAAACGGAGATATGTAACACAAGAGAACGGTATTCCCAATATACTGGAGCCCCTTCCCGATTACCTTAATCATTTGAGAGGCTTTCCATTAAAAGACCCGTAATTGAAGCTCTGTTAGCCAATCAATCAGAACCATGCTCATATTACCATGGCCTGGCGATGTCCTCACGTGGTGAACTACCCCTTGGGCAACCATCCGCGCACAAACGGATTACCGAGTTACGCAGCGCACCCCACCAATGTTCATTTCATTGTGAGCAAGTGTATTATGTACGTATGCAGGCTCCTACATGTATATCGCTAAGCTGATAATGACTGACAAACACGTGTTACAGATCAAGTTACCACAGTTAGCTGCCCGCACATCAGGCTAATGCACAAAGCCTTACAATGTTTTGATGAAGCGGTACAGTAAAAGGTTATAAATGACTGCTTTTTGGAAAGGGTATTCAAATTGTGTTATAAAAACAGCTTACCAGTTGTGCTGGTGGCTATTTGGAGTCCAGCAAAGGCAAGCAGAGTAAGGAACCATAGAGTAGCGGTGATGACGGTAAGTGACATTACACTGGTTGACATCAGTAACCAGACCGCCGGTTGGAATCACGATATCCAAATCGCTGATACACGCATAAATCCTCAAGGGTGTCTCTGACCTGGAGAGGGATGAGCAAGATGGCAAACTTGAAATGTTCTCCTGTATACGACCATGCTTCTTCGTTAGTCACTACAGACCAAATAGTCAAGGCACGCCTACTGAACAAATTGTGTATTTGTATAAAGCTAATGAGGTAATGAAAAATGATCCCCCTTAAGCTACATAATGGCATTCACATGTTCAGGCAAAGCTTCTTGTTGCCATCAGACTGACTCTAGTTCACCCACCTCCCCAACCCAATCCTCATCAATATACAGTCCTGCCAGAGCATCATGTATTCATACCTCCTCGGGGCTCTTTGAATAATATCAAATTGATAACGAAATCAAGATAGGCATACATTGAACCCTCCCCCTCACTATCCTGTCAGTCAGTGAGCGACAAATACATCTGCTGGCCTAGGAAGGTGCTATGCCAGAACTGCATTACAACACAGAAAGCAAAAATATTCATCAATGCCGACTTAGTATTTTCTTTGCAGCAAGCACCCCTGATGAGCCTTTTCACCGTTTTCAAACCATAAAAAAAATCAACAATTCGCATTTGCATGGCAAGAAACGCTGCTTTGTCAATCAATGGGCGATACATATGGTAATACAGGAAGACAGGCCCCGGCCACAAGAGCAAGGGTGACAAACCACACACGTTACCATCACATCCGAACCCGTTGGGAGAAGTTTCCTTTTATCACACTAATGCACCGGGATGCGCGTCGGAAGGATGAAGAAGTGAAGCGCGATGCGATAATTGGATAAGATGCCGCCGTTATCTTGAGCATCAGTGCATTAGTAATTTTCTGAGCTTTTCCTGTGGCTACCTTCTCCCATCCTAGTAAAAATATTTATTGATTTGTATTCGACTGTGAATTCACCACGGGATGGGACTAATTTCATAAGGATTTTCTTCCTTGTTTGGGAAAGATGAGACGATATGGAAATGGGTGAATACACTGTTAACTGAGCTCCATCTCAGTTCATGAGAAAGAGCAAGAGCCTTCAGGAGGAATACATCATGATATACAAGTACTTCGTCGGCACTAAGGATTCCCATGAAAACACACAAAAATACAGAGAGAATTGAGTTATTTTCCAAATTCCAAACAATTATATTTGGACACAGATGAAATAATCGAGATGTACAGTATGTTCAAGCTAAAAGCTGCATTATGAACATAAGTGTACCCAAATATCTAGATTAGCTTTTCATACTTCACAAGCATACATGTAGGCCAGTATATACAATTCTGTTTTCTTCAATTGTACAGAAAAAGATTAAAAGACTCAATAATTTAGCAGTTTCTTGAATAAAGAGGAAATCGCTGTAATGTAGGATGTTACAGGTGAAATTCACCCAATATCTAGGACCAAAAGTTTCACAATCTGAAGCAACATTCTCATCTAATAGGAAAGTATAATTGATGAACTAAAAATATAATTGATGAAAAAAAAAATGAAAAAAAAGGAGGCTCCAAGCATGAGGTAAAGTGGAAGTACAAACAGGCATACTGCAATGGTGTACTATGATGTACATGTAGGTTGATATATGCACCGCAAATTATGTAATGAATATTTGATATGGTATTCCCTGATCAGCAATCAATCAGTTTCTGCAGAATTTCATAAAAAAACAAAACCGTTTTTACAGTTACAACAAAACTGAATTTTCAATGATGGTCTAATGCAGCAAAAGCATCCATATGTATTTTTGTGTTACAAAATGTACTTTAAATTTCCATATAACCCCACTTCACCGTTGGAATCCCTCATTCTCCTGACGACGGGCAGAGCATACTTTCCGAAACGTTGAGTTCCCTCCGGTTCTTTTCAGAACCACACATACTCACAAGAGATATTTTGCCAAATGGTGCTACCACAACAATTTATCTTATTCTTAAAAGCATAAATAAATATTTATTCCCATTCAGAAATATCTTTTCGGTCAAAAAATCAAAACTTTTTGGTCCAAAAGTCAAAACAAGCCAAAAATTAAACATTTCCAACAATTTTGTTCAACGATTTTACTTTCTGTTTTTCAAAACACCCCTCTAGCTATATAATGGAGTGTCCAGCTCGCGAGTAAGACGTAAGCAACTCCTTTTATGGAGATTGGCGCCGGCGTCTCGCATACTGTGCGATGACATGCAGATGCAGCGTTGAGTGCGTTGTGAATTTAGAACAATGAAATACTGACTGACTAGCCCATGCCTACGAGAGGATTGTGAACGTTCAACCAATAAAATGGTAAAAGGCACTGGAGTTCATAGCAGTCCAAATTTCATGTGACACTGGAAAAGTGTTTAAGACCAGCCAGCCATGTCTTTATCATCCGTTTAAGACTGGCCACGTGACGGGCTCTCGACCAATGGGAATGGGTAAACGGTCTTAGGTATTAATGAATACCTTTTCCCCCAAGGCAAACTTTCAAATCTCATTTAAATTTCCTTTTTTAAGTCTATAATCCACAGGGGAAAAAACTGATTATGCAAATTAAACAAGGTAATTAAGCTTTTTTATTCATGTTCTGGATTTTCAATCCTTCTTGAACTCTTTCCAAAATTAAGTATGATCAACAATTTACCTTTTTTATGCATATGCTATTCATGAAATTCACCAAAAAGTCATGTTTCATTTGTAGTGCCTTGGACCTCTACTTACTATTTGCTTTAAGAAGGTTTTTTCCCTAATATTTTTTAATTTCAAAATCCTCAGAGTACACAACCTAGGTTTATTAAAGGAGAAAATGTTCCACAGTGTCTACTGAAATCTAATGTTTGTTATAACCAAACTACAAATATTGTACGGTGATATTTGTCAGGTTCTCAAAACTCCATACATATATACGTTGCTGTCCAAGTTGTCCAAAGAGATGGAACACATTTGACTTTGGCCTATTATCACAAATTTTACAAACCATTTTCTCATTTCATTAATTAAAGGGCATTTAGAAAAAGTACTTTTTTTCCATAGAAGACATATGGGGGCAGGGTAGGGGAAAGAAGGATGGTATTGGTAGTGGGTACATCTGTATGCCTAAACTCAAGTGGACGTTGTGTAGCCTGACATTATTTAAAGAATTTAAAGCAAAAACAATATTTGTCATTACATTTGGAAATTGGGGTCCGCTCGTAAGTCCGATGCCTCATAGGTCCGACGCCTCATAGGTCCGACAAAATCTCATCCCCCAACCAAATAAAGGCCTATAAGTCTGACACCCCAAAGGTAGGATGCCTCATAGGTCCAACGCCTCGTAGGTCCGACAATAATATTTACTTTGATTTCGCTCCATAAGTCTGACGATTATAAATCCCACGCCTCATAAGTCCGACGCCTCGTTTGTCCGACATCCATTATTAATGAATACAAACATCACGTATTATGTCAGAATGTTACCGCCAACAAGTGTTAGAGTTAGAGATTACACATTCACATTAAGAGATGCACCACGCCTCCCCTCCCCCCGGGTGGCATTAACCCTTGCGCCAAAAAACTGCGCGCTGGCAGACTCTTGACACGGCTAGCACAGTGCGCACTCTCACTTTCGAAGACAACCTCGTTCAAATTGTCATTTAAATTTTGGTTAATCTCGTCTCTTGCCTTTTCAGACAAATGAACCTTTCTTTGTAACGGTCAAAAGCTCCGACGGTAGGTCCGATTCTTCGTTTGTCCGACGTCGGATTCATGAGGTGTTGGATTTATGAGGCGATGGAGCTATAAGGCGGAATACATAAGTCCAATGCCTCATAAATCCGACGCCTTATAATTCCGAAATTTCTGACTTATGAGGCGTCAGACTTATGAGGGGTCGGACTTACGATACGTCCCTGGAAATCAATGCCTTAAAACAGGAATACTAAAGCATGGTTGAGGTTAACAAGGGTGAACTGCTTTCCAGAGCCTTGGTTATACATGTACCGGTACTCCGAAAAGAAAGGGGAAGGAAGCAGTCTGGTAGCGTAGTGTAGTAGCTGCTGGTTCTAACATTTTAAGATTTTACGAATAAACGCAAAGCAAAAATTACCTAGATCTACACTGAAAGCAATTCTTGGCATTTTCAGTGATAGAAAGGTACTGGTACATGGATACATTTCTTGTCAACACCCTGAGGTTTGTTCAGGCTTCTGCAGCATGGGTCACATTACCAAGTATAATCCTCTGTTTTCACGTCATATCTCAAACACTTAAAGTCATTTTGATAGGTTGACAGCAAGTGATTTCACAAGGCTTGTATCTACATGTACTCACAAATGCTCACGATGCTTCATTTGATGGAATTGAAATGCATCCCTGAACCTGCAGATGTTACAACTCATGGTCCAGGAAAGTCCATAAAAAGGTTAAAAAAGTGTTGTAAACTGCTTTAATAAAGAACTATTTCTTTCATGGTCATTTGAAGGTTTTTTTACCATTTTCAAATAAAGCAATAATTCTTCTTTCCTCATAATGAAGTCTGATGGAATAAAACGATGCAGTGATACAAATAACAACTGACCCATATATCGTTTTTGTGTTACATGTAAGTAGTGGGTTTTCCCTCAATGTTATTTACAACGCAAAATGTATGATATTAGGCCAAGAAAAAAGCTTTGTTTCCTATTACATGTTCATTGAAAAAAAATAGGGAGGGTTGGATTGAACAAAAAATTCAGTTGTTCTAAATATTTATAGCCACACAAAAAATATGGTGGGATGATGGTCCTTTAATTTTCTTATTTTTTGTTTTCGGCATTCGTAACGGTTAACGTGTGCAATGAATGGGAGGTTTGCGGTAACACCATGTGAATGATAAAACTAGGGTGTGTGGCATCATAATTTTTTTTTTGAATTTCAAAGAAAAACATTTTGTTTCTGCATTATTTTCTAGGCTGGGTGGGGTAATACATTGTAGGAATTTTGTTCTTGGCCTTAAGGCTTTCTTCTATCTTGTGAGAAACACTCAAGCTTACTCAGGAGGGACCTGCGACCGCATCGCACTCTGCTCACCAGTGCAGACAGCTTTGACAAAAAGTATTTGAGATCAAGTCTTTTCCTACATGTTAAAATGAAAACGAAATCAAGAGTGACTTACCCGAAGTGAATTGTGTTCATGAAATGCATTTTTTTGCCATTCTCTTCATTTTAACTTCATATGCAGAGTGAATAAAACACATCTGTGTACCATCACTATTACACAAACAGCTGTTTTGCATACTCGTATACACAGAGACAGTGTATGTTCAGGACCTGTGGTCAGCTGCTCCTATCAAAATAGTAATATCTGACGTTGAGTATTAAAAACTAATAGAAATGTCATCTTCAACGTACCACAGAGGTAAGGTTTATTATCAGAGCCCTGAAATTGCATCCGCAGTGTGCCAGCTTCAAGGGAGATTTCACGCTCGGCTACAGCAAACTCTTGTCAGGGAAATTGTAAAAATGGTTTGGGGCATAACCAATTTGCCCAGTGGAATAGTACACTTGTGGTAGCGGGGATTATTACGGCGATTTGGTGAAGATTAACCTTTGCAGAACCACATCACGCAATCATTAACTGATGTTGATTCATTGCAATTGATCATGTAGGAAGGAGGCAGAAGGAGACATGAGCATAAACAGCTAGCATTCATGGGCTAGTGGGTCTCACTATGAAACGTTCAACTTTAAATATAACACTTGTAAATGATTTACAAATACAAACACTGCGCCACAGCAATTTCAGTGCCACTGCAATGTTTTCTCTGCAATATTTTGAGTGTGACAACATTTTGGCAACCAGATGTATTCTTGAAATCCTTAACAGAATTGTAGTCTAGTGTAAATGTAACAAGTTTTCCAAATTGTCCACCATTTAAGTACTTTCAGTACATTCAATGTACAAGTGTATGTAAGGTGCCTTTAAGAACAATATTCTAAATATTACAAACTACAATTACAACCATTCAAGTCTTGGTCGCCTTTTTCTGTGACATCAGTATAACAAACAGAGATACAAACTTCATAGAAATGAATGTAGTGGTAATGTGTTTCATAATCCATCTATCTCATGGAAGATAGAGTGGATTTTAACTCAAATCAAAATTACAAAAATAATGGATGTCTTTTTCAAATTGTCCACCATGGAAAGCCAATGTGATATATACTGAGGATTACCTTTGCTTGTGTCTATCAACAACTAAGGTAATTCACACAGCAGTCTAATTACAACAAGAAATACTCAAGATACATGAGGCAGACTACAGACAGTGTGATTGAAATGTTATGCAGCCAAGATGAAAATAATTGAAGAGGACCCTGGCAACCTCAGATCATTTTTCCACTCATCAAACTCGACTGCAAACAGATTACAAGGCGCACAAACAAAATGTCACTCAGGCCTTACAGGCAAATTAAATTCACCATGAAGGCATACACATTCCGCACATCAGAGTGGAGTCTGCAACTCTGCATATCCTTAACAACAGTCCTTTACAATGGCTGGGCTTTTTTTTTGCGATCACATTTTCTTTTATTTGGAAACCTTCAGCTGTAAAATTGCTGGATGTAGGGCATGGGTGGGCGAATTACATCAAATTCTTTAAAGAAGTGAAATTGTGGTATCCTGAAAATATGAACTAAAGAAATATTACAAACAGACAAGTAATTAATACAATTATTCATATGTACTATTACGAACATAGCTCAGCTGAAAATCTGGTGAACTGAAAACATTTTCAGACGGTGATGTTTTTGGATGACCTGAATTTTAAAGTCCCCCCCCCCCCCTGTAATGGAAAATAGCAAAGACAATTAATGCTGACCACAACCTTTTTAGTATACGGACAAACAAATGGTATAGCCAAGGCTTTGTAAAGGGAAATTAGTAAATCTTGATTTTGTCCAAGAGTAGTTTATCATGCTTTTGAATATTAAAACACACAATAAATTACCAATGGTGAGGAATGATTTGGCATTCAGAACCATTTGCAACATTTGTTTGAAGGGATAAAGGCACTATGTGATAATGACAAAATATGCTTACAATTTCTCCGGAAAGGAAAAGTGCTTTCAAAAACATTTAGGCATCATAAAAATGACAATTTTAAAAGGATTCAGGAATTCTAAAGAGGACAGAAAAAAATTCACATCGATACAAAATTCTAAAAGAGGAAAATATTTTTTTTCCATTTTACATCCTTGAAACTTTTTTTTCAAACGGTACGTGTATTTTTTTATTGGAATAAATTCTCCAGAGATTTTCTCCAAGCTCTTAAATACTTAGCTTTGACATTTAATTTGATTATTTGGTACCGTGGGCAACCTTTCCTACGCTGCCACAGGTTGGTTTATTAAGGCCAACGTTTGACATGCCGTCCAATAAAAAATGATATATTCCCGCCGTTTTCCATTATACACGCAAGTTTCTTATTGGCATTCATGTCTGTAACGTTGGCAATAAATGATGCCATTTCAGGTTATTGTTCCCTGGTTAGACATCAACGGAGCAAAACGTCAGTGTTTCATCACTCTTGATCACCTAGTAGTTGAAATCGAGTCTATTGATTTCTGCTTTTTCTCCCCAATGCCATCAGCAATCTTGGTCAACATACCGGCTGCACGCATACACTGCAAGAAGGCTGTTTTTAGATCCACTGCGCGGATAAGTTAAAGCAACACAGATCTGCATACATGTAATAGGTCATGGTCATGATGGCGAAATAACAATTTAAAAAATCTTTAAAACAGCAAGTAAATATGCAGGAATATATTTATTGAAAATGAAATGCATTCAAGGATGCAGCATCTTAGTGTACATACAAGATTCTGTATGGGAAGAAATTGCTTCATTGTTTCATTGTATCAATGTTTTCTTGAAAGCAACAATTTACTCATCATAATTCACTGCAGACCTTCATTAATCACTTACCTGTGATAGGAGTACAAGTACATCCAAACTACCCTGCACACTCTGGGTAGAGTTGGGTTGAGCTCTGTGCACACGAAGAGCTGCCAGAATCGAGGGCTACACACAAGTGTGTTGCAATTAGCCCCCTGCGCTCTAAGCCATACGTGTATATACTCCACTCCACTCCAGTGATGGATGATAATGGTGAGCTGAGAGCAAGTATAATCCCAAGGAGGAATGCTTCTCATGTACAGACATGAATCACCGCCGAGAAATTATGACCAATTTTCCCAGTGAGTAATTCGGAAGAAGCCGGCCTGCCAGTGCCGTTCAAATTGGCCTCACTTATATCTGGCCAGGCTTGCGTCTCTCCTCATGAAGGGCCGTCCAATGATAACTCGGTCACTCTCTTACTGTAATTCGTCAGGAATGAGATTTTTCGAGGGCGGGGGAAATTGCAGAGGACACCTGGCTTGGTTTTGGCTTTTAATCATTGCCAAATTAAATTTGGGGGGAGAGGGAAGGTTTACCTGGGCATGCTTGATGCAATTACAACAGCACATGGTAAACAGACTTGTTTTGAAAAGATGAAAAATTCGATAAATACAAAAACTGTTAAGGTACCGGCAGATGGATCGACATCATAACAAAAAACTAGAAAATGAAATGAGTACTAGATAGTTTGGATTAATTGGATGCATGCTACATTGATCGACAGGTATATATTTGACTAAACTACATCCGCCCGATTAAATGACAACAACTTGCTTGGGCTCCCAACGTATATGATAAGTTACAGTGATGCAAACGTAAGCCATGTGGCTACAAATGTTTTTAAATTTCTACTTGTCTACTCAGTCCGCACAAGCTATGTGTATATGTACAGTTGCTTTATAATAGGAGTTACAAACTATGTATTTTCAGAAAAGGGAAGTAAAGCTTCAACAATTAGTAACATTGACTAAAGATAAAATCTAGCTTATTGGTCTGATTCAAGATATTTTTACAGTGGTGGATCCAGAATTTACAAAAGTTGAATGGCTGGGTGTTGAAGTCCAAGATTTTTTAAATGGGTGATTATGTACATGGTCAATGAACGGAAAGACCAAGGGGCTAAAGCAATAAATCAAGATTGCAAATTTGGGATATTGGAAATTGGGGAGGGGGTACCACCTTGGATCTGCCCTTGATTACGTAATACCTTCTTGAAGCATTAAAACCTTAACCTCCCCAACTCCATCAAAATCCATCCCCCCATTTTGGTGGATTTTGGGGACTTGGTTCTGCAGGCCTGGTGTGACTAAATATTGATGATGGACTTGGGCCTGGAGGCCTAAAGCAAAGCATGCATTGGAAGCAGTGTGATTGATGGATTTTGGCAGACATGGTCCAGTACTTAGTAAAAGACAGTAGGGAGTTAGGGTTAATGGACTTTGTGAATGAATTTTATTCTGAAATCCTGACTTACCAATGGCAGGTAATGTGAAGTGAAACTTTTGCTTGAGAATTGATCCAGCGTCTTCTAAAACATGCAGAACAGCATTGTTTGGATCTGGATAGAAAACAAATACATATAGAGAGTTTCAAGAGCCCCTCAAGTGGTGGTTTAAAACCACTGATAAAACACCAGCTGCTTTTAAACACAATTCCTGGGATCTGGTGTACCCAAAATGGGAGCAGGGGGATTGGGTAGTGTAGCCTATTTCCTGAAAAGAGATTTGCAACACACCTATACACTCAAATCCTAAATTTTACTGATTACAGTTATGATGGGAAACTATGTAATGGCATTTTATTTCTGTGTTACTTGTCTTTATACATACATTGTTTAAAGGGAGTCCATGGACCATTAAATAAAAAAATGACAAACCTGGTGAAACATTACATTTACAGTTCATTGTGTAAAATTCCTAGTTGACTTTTAATATATTTAACATAACATTACTTAACTTTACTTGGAATCAGTGCTAAAAATATGACCTCGGAATGCATGCGAATAGTCACAGGAAAATATGAAAATGTGCCACATAATCTATGATAACATGGTTAATGGCAGATGCCATAAATATAATGTACGTACATGTATGTTGATAAAACTAATACGCACTTTCATTACATAACTTGACGACACCAGTCTAACTTTTGTAAAGGACTTAGGAATCTAGATACCAGTCTATAACCTTACAGCTAATAAATGGAATGGCCTTGAAACTTCCAGAATATTCTACAATATATGACCACATACAATTAATGTAACGCAAAATGTAATGTAAGATCAGTATGCAGATTAGATGCAAAGTAATGGAGGAGGACTACGAGGAGGCACCTAACAATCAGGAGAGGGGAGGGCCAGGGGCAAAACCTTTAACCAATGAAAGTGTTCATTGTATCTTGGGATGCTTGGAATTGTAGTGGGCTTGATTTCATAGAATTAACCTATCACAGTAGAATCACGTGAACACAGCTTGTGAAATATTGTCCAATTACACGATATACAAATGGCAATAAAGTTGTTTATGGGGCGTGGTTAACTCGCAAACAGCGATAGGTCAATTGCACACCGCTTCTGAATTAAAGCAATAGACCAATCCAAAAAAAAACAGCCTCGTGACATTTTGACCAATCATAGACTCTGCTGTGATTAATGTCCAACATGTGTGCACAAATGTCTGACATGCGTGCAATCACATTATGACGCGCACGGCTGGAACATGGAGTTTGGCACACGTGAGACGCACATGTTGTTGCCCATGCGCACAGTGGGCAGGGCTTTAATGATTAGGTGATTTGTGTTAATGGTTTGCCCAGACAATTTTGGTATATGCACAGAATATAAACAATTTTAAAAGCTGAGGCATTCAATCAAAGAACACGTCCTGTCTTGCTCCTTGTTAGAATGGTCAATCCAGGTGCATCTAGGATTTTCCAAAAGGGGGCAGGGTTATAAAATGGAACATGCAGCAAATGGTGAAGCCAAGTTGTGGCGCCTACGCCGAAGGCCAAGGGGGGCGGACATAATGTGATTTAATAAAAGTAATGCAAGGGGGTAGCGCGAAGCCCTTACGGCGTGGGGTCCGGGGCCTGAGTAAGGGCTCCAGAAAATGTTGGATTCTGGATACTCTGTGGTGCGACCTCAGACAATATCTAGCCACTTTAACCAATTTTTCTTGGGGGGGAGGGGGCAAAAGATCATTATTTAAACATCATTTTTGAGTTGGAGTCATTGAATCAGCTATCCTGAGCTATACAATAAACTGTAGGCTACAATATTTATTCAGGAACGTAAAAGGGGGGGGGGGCAATGATATGATACCCCCACTTTAAAACGTGGCCGGGGGGGGGGGGGGGGGGGGGGGGGGGGGGGGAGAAAGGACATGTCCCCCTGTCCCCCACCGATTGATGCCCATGCTGAAGGCATGCCCGTTTTTGCCCTGCTAGAGCGGATGGGTGCATTATCCTGTAATGTACAGCATATTTTACAGAATAGGTTTCCTCTTGCTCGTCGCTGCCTTTTTGTGTCTCATCGCACACGCGCTAGCTCATCGCAGTTCTTGGTCCTGTTGCTTCTTAATTTAATTTAGTAAAAGTATGACAGAACCCCAATAATAATTGTTGTCTTTTGTGCAAATAATCCTAGCAGGCTGCAGTCTAACGCGACTCATTCACTCACTCGATCCGCATAGACAGCATACATGTAGGTCTGTCGCTCGTATCTCCTGTGCCTGCGTCCTACAGCCTCATTCCACATGCAGTCAATCTGGCTAGGTCGTCCGAGTTGTTCCAACTAAGATGATCTGGGACAGCCACATGGCTCTTCCAGCCAGAAGTTGGCCACTTACCTCTCCTGGAATTAATGGCGATGCCCAGAACGTTTTTGGCTGGAATATTGTCAGCCAGGCGAGCGACGTGACCGAAGAAGGCAGTGCGGCGATGTTGGATTTGGTGGATGATGGTTGCCAATCTTGTTCTGTGGGAGACCTCGTTGTTGCTGACGAAGTCGTACCACTGGATGCCTAGGATCAAGCGTTGACACCTTTGGTGGAATGACTCAAGTCTTCTGAGATTGGAATTCAGGGTCCAGGTTTCTGATCTGTATAGCAGGACATGAATGACACATGTCCTGTAAGCTCAATTTGGTGGTAAGTTTCAGCCTCTTTATTAGCCTCCAGATTCTGCGTAGGCTGTTCATAGCAGACGAAGCCAGGCCAAGACGTCTGAGGATGTTGGGTTCACTGCGCCCAGTATTGGAGATCTTACTTCCGAGATATACGAAATCCTCCACAAGTTGACAGACTGGCCGTTCACCTTGAGAGGAAGTGCTGGTGACCGAGATTGGCAGCTTGGCTTTGAAAAGAGTGAAGTGCATTGCTCAGATCTTTGAACTTGTTACAGACTAGAGCGACAGAGCAAGGAAGCTTTTGGAGGTGTTCCTTCCTTGGCACACCTTGGCAGTGGTATTGGTGTGAAGATCCTTGATGAGGGTGAGGAGATGGTGGGGAACTCCAATGCTTCATAGAGCTTTCTAGAGTGCTGTTCTATGAACTGAGTCAAAGGCTGCCTTCATATCAACGTAGGCCACGGATAAAGGTTGGTTGAACTTGTGATGCAGCTCGGACAACAGATGGAGGGCGAGAATGGCATCCATCGTGGAGCGGCCAGCCGTGAATCCTGATTGCTCAGGCCATCTGTGCTCAACTAGCAGGGGCTTCAACCGGGCCAGGAGGACGAGGGCAAAAACTTTCGCCGGAACAGATAGAAGCATGAAGGGTCTGTAGCTACTACATTCAGTGCGGGTCCCTTTCCTTTGTAGAGTGTAACTATGATGCCCTCTTTCCACTCTGCAGGTGTTTTTTTTTATCGCTATACCTGTAAGATGAGCTTATGGAAAACAGCGCTAATCGGGTCGATAGTGCACTTCAAGAGCTCAGGAGGGATGTGGTCAGGACCAGCTGCTCTGCCATTCTTCAGCCTTTTGATGGCTGATTTCACCTCTTCAATGGTGGGGGCATCCTCGGGAGTTGCCGGGTCTGTTACAGGAGCTACGGGGATGTCCAGGTCTGGACACGGTGGAGCTGATGGCTTTTTAAGGGCAGCTCCGAAATGCTCCCTCAATCTGTCACTAGATTCCTCGTCTGATGAGCAGGATGAACCGTTGGTTTTGTTGATGGTCAGGCTCGTACTCTTATCGGATTTTGGGCGAAGCTCTTGGATGACTTTGAATGCAGATTTGAGGTTTTGGTGGAGAAGTTGTTGTCGATGCTTTAAAATTCCCTATCCTGCTTAGTCTTGGCTTGGAAAACTCCTGGCAGGCGTCTATGTTCTGCGTGTTGGTGGTTTAGTTTGGATTTTGATTTTTCGTCCAGAACTTGGAAGGTTTCCTCAGTGAGCCAAGGACGTCATTTGAGGAATTTCTTCTTCCCGATGATATCGTCGGCTGTTTCACGGATGGTTGTACTGATGCAAGACCAGGCAGCCGCCACATCATCTGGTAGGTGGCCTAGGGCTTGGAACCTATTACGGATTGTGACTAAGTATTTTGACGTAAGGGTTTTGTCCTCGATAGTTTATTCCACGTCATACAAGGGAGTGGGGGGGGGGGGCTTTTTGGAGTGGAAGCGCAGGGTGATTGCTAGTTTTGCAATTAGCAGGCGATGGTCTATATTTGTTGGGGCTTCAGCTCCTCTATAAACCCTGTAAGATTTTACCATGTTCCGGTTCTTGACAAGAATTGGGTCAAGTTCTTTTTGTGTGTGACCATCATTGGAGATCCAGATCATTCTGTGGGTGTTACGTCGCCGGAACCAACTGTGAGTTATGGAGATGTTATGTAAGGCGCAGAAGGAGAGGAGTCTCACCGAGTTGTCATTGATAGAACCATTCCTTGAGCAACATGGGGCGGGGTTCATGTTGCCAAGGACAACAAACTCGTCGTTGGGGAGGAACATCCTCAGCAACGGCGATAAGTTGGTCACAGAATTGATTCTAGGTGTATAGTCATCAGATACATTTGTTGGTGCATAAGCTACATTGATGGAGAGCTGACCGTGGCGATCGATGTTGTAGTCTCACATAGATAGGCGGTCAGAGATTTCCTGCCATTTGGTAATAGCTTTGTTGAAAGCCAGATGCACAAAGAGAGCTACACCAATGGTCTTTGTAGTACCACCTGAGTGTATGAGTGTGGCCTCTTCGGATTGATAAAGGCCGCTATCAGCTAGTCTGGCTTTGGTGACACCTAGTATGGAGATGTTGTCCAATTTCATTTCATTGATAATTGTCTGCCGTTTGGTATCCATTCCATTAAGGGTTCAGGGGTTCCAGGTTTCAATTCAAAAGGACTTGCGTAGGTCCGTTGTGGGCATCACAGCTTTCGGCCTCATTGGAGGAGCACTTTCTAAGTGGGGCTTTTGAGTGCCCCTCATCATCAATGCAGGGTTCCTGCGGCTTTGGCTGTTGATGCTACATGGAGCAGGGGCTTTACCCCTGGTGCTAGTAGTTGTGTGCATAGAAGATCGGTTGCCCCTGGGTGCCACAAGGGTGGTGGTATGTGGCTGAACTCTGCCTCCTTGGGACAGGGGAGACGAGAGCACCCTTCCACGTCTGTCCCTGAGCCGCAAAGCTCAGGTTGAAAGGGTTCACAGTGCAAAGGTGTGGATAGGATTTGAATGTGAGAGGCTGTAAGATCCAGGGAGGACCTACATTGTACGTCGTGACTGCCTCCTTCTCGTCGGCTGCCGCTGACTATGATCCCCCAAGCTCGTCAGGTCAGTGACGTCAGGTGAGTGACGTCAGGTGAGTGACGTCAGGTGAGTGACGTCAGGTGAGTGATGCGTCACTTTAAACCCCAACGTGAACTGCCCTATTAACACAACGTATCTTGACCATATCAACCAACCCATGCACCTTTAAAGTTTCTTCAATGTTTATGTACCCTTGTATCAATGAGGTTTACTACGTGTAGATGAAATCAAGTGATTTTCTTTTTAAATCACTGATTAATACAATTTTTTTCAAAGGCAATTATCAATGTTAGTTTTGTGGCTGATGGGTATTATAGGAACCTGAAACTCCTTGTTGATGGGTGTAAGGGACGCGTGGGAAAAAAGATTGAGACACATTTTAAGACAAACCAATGTTTGGAAAGTAAAAAAGAAATTAAAAATCTGCTTGAAATTTAAAGAACCTGATTTTTGATTATTTGTTTAAAAGTAAGTGTATATTTATAGCCAGCTAGATTTAGCTGGCTTTCCATAAAATGAATTAAATTACCATCCCCTGTGAGGTGTGGCTGAGTGGATAGTTTATCTCATGAGTGAGATCCATTGTTCAACCCCCCCCCCCCCCCCCCCCCCCCCCCCCCGCTTGCGACATATTCATGTAGTATCCTTACATGATAGCTATGTATAGGCACCACGTGCTCTGAAACCACACACCCAGACCCAGACATTACCTCATCCACATTGGAATGCATGAACCCCAACTTACTAAAATGAATAATGTATAAGGCCCCAACTTAGATCAGATTGCACCCTAGAACAATGTAGCCCTTGATAAGCATAGAACCTCATGTGATGTACTGAGATGTACTAAGACACAATAAACCAAGCAAGCATCGAAGCAACAACTACTATCCGTGTGCTAGTGACAAGCTGACTACATTACAATTCAATTTTTTTTTTCATCGCAAAAAAATAAGAATATTCTTCATTTTTTTACAAATTGACTCCAACATTGAATTACAGAGTATTTTGTCCGTAAACTTCAGTCGAGCTCCATCGTCGCAGCTGGTATAAGACTAGTTCGTAATCGGCCGGGTTGAGACAAATCTAACGACTTGACGATTACGTTTTCGCACCGTTATGCAAGCGGTGCAATACATATGCAGTGCAGTTTTGCAGTGAGATCCAATCGCGCACCGCTACGCAAATGAGGACTCATCATTCCGTTACATGGGGAGTTCTTCTCAATACGTCAGGGACATGTTGCAGATATGGCAGCATTTTAACAACCAATACACTCAGCTTGGTCAATTGTGTATCAAAATGTATCATTGTGATATACATGTATTTGATTTTGAGTTGTGTATGCCCTATAATGAATTTCTTAATGTTAAACAACACAAAACCTCGAAGTACAAACCCTCGAAGTAATGAAAATGATCTTCTGTGGCAGCCTAGAATACACTGTGGAATATGAACCAATCAGAGTGCTCGCATAGAATTGGCCAGCGATTCAAAATACTCCCATATGTTGTATACAAAATTGAAAACCTTTTCCGCCAAATCGGTAATTGATCATCAATAGTCAGCATCTTTAGTCTGGGAACCAGACTATACATGCATTGCACCGATATTTTGTGTGCGTGGACTCTGGAGCCAGTAATCCTAACCATACATAAAACAATTATTGACTTGGCACCAAGTGTAGTGCCTATCCGGCAAAATGGCATTTACTTGAAGAAATGCTAGTCCGAAAATTTGGGACTCTCAATACTGTGTATGAGAGTCCCAAAACATAATTAAGGTATTGAAAACATGCAAAACAAGAAAATAGACTTGCACCTAAAACAACCAGTCCAACACAGCTTCAGTGCTGCATCAATCAACCATGCCAAAAGAATTTAAGAAACATGTGGCATGAAGTGGGAAATAGTCGCAATTTACTACACATTTCTCCATAGCCAAGCCACCAGACTATTGACACTGAATGAAGAGGTCAGTCTTTTCAAATAGTTGGACCATGGTTGGACATGTACCAGTCTAGTATTTAGCCCCATTTTGAAATCACTTGACTTCCCTCTCATGTGCAAAATATTGAAAAAAAAGTCTCCTTTAAAAATTGAATTAAGTCTGCAAACTTGGTTGGTGAAATATTGAGGACGTTTTCTTTGCCCAAGTGGAATTTTTGGAGAAATTTGCTGGCTAAACTGTGAGTGAATTGGGCCTGATTTAGGTTTGCACGTTTCAGAGCACTCCATAGCCCTGTCTGAAGAAATGCTGGCTAAATATCCACTGCCTGTTAGGCTGTTTTTAGTAAATAAAAATAATCACCAACCCCGTTATCTTACAATATTGCTAGCCCCTTTCGATTTGTAGTATAAATACTTTCAGGAAACTGTGAGAAACAGTCGGAGATGTAAGTTCCTCCTTATGGAGTTCAAACGCTATGCTAAGCTATATAGCTAGATTTACAATCACTCAGAAAAAAAACTGGCATAGTATTAAGTTAGCAAGTTACAATAGGCCTACTGCAATTAACTACAAGCCAATTTCTGACTACTTTTTCTCTGAATTTTACTTACTCTGGAATCTGAGGTTGTGCTGTGTGTTCAGAAAGACTTGGAAGTTGTTCAGGAAGACTTGGTTGTTTTTCTTCCAAGATTGTCCAATTCCTGATCAACGGCAGTGGTACGGCATTCTGACAGGGTTCTGCTATAGCTAGCTGCACGTGGTATGCAGTGCAGTTCAATCTAGTGAAGGGTCACGTGATACAATGTATATCAGGTGATGATTTAGGCCGGCTGCCGTTCTTTCTCGAGACCGTGTGAAACTGAAAGATCGAGATGGTTTGAAAATTATTAAAATTTTCTGAGAGAGAACTAAACAAAACATGTATTTCTCTCATTGTCCATCACAAATGACTATGAGCGTCGGGGGGGGGGGGGGGAGGGGTCACTAGGAAACGCCAAAACAAAAAGGTGCAATGAGTTTTATTTACAAACGGGATACTATACGCACATCACTACGCATTGGTCGCCCCCGCTTTTAACCAATATTAGGCCAAAAAAAATAATAAGTCGGTCTCTGGTCAGCGCGCGCGTCGATTTTAATCATGCGCGTCGATCTTTTTTTTTTCCAAAATGTTCCGCGGTAGCTCCAACAGCGCCCTCTATTTCCGCACCTCCTCAATTTTTTTTTTACCAAAGAGCACCAAGGAATGGGAAATTGCACCAAGGCAAATGATCGAAAGCACCAAGGCAAATTATGGAGGACACTAATGTACATGAGGACACCAAAAAAGCAAAATAGTACCCACCTTGTCTGTATATACAATCCAAGCTTGAAGAAAAAAACAAAAAACAAAAAACAAAAAACAAAAGCCGCGTGGCCGCGTCAATTCCAAAACTTTGGTCCGACCAGAGACCGAATATTTGTTGTTTTGGCCTTACAAACACAAACAAATTGAAGATTTTGCGCTGTGAAGAGCGTTCATGGTTCTAGTGATAGTGTATCCAGTCCAACCCCACCCCCCCCCCTTCCAACGGTCTGAAAACATTTCTTTGTAATAGAAAGTAGAAGTTAGAGCATGTTTATGGTACCTCGGAAGATGTGTAAAAAAAAATTGAGATTTGTCCATTTTTGGTTTCATAGCCTGCTCTCAGAGCCGGATCGGGAGTCTGGTTTGCCTCATCCCTCCCCTTTGATGTTCACCTACTGCATGCCACTCCCTTGATCCATCCCCGGCTATTTAATCCCTCTTTCGTGTTTCTCCTCCTACCCTTGCATGCTTGTGTGTCCCCTATATAACATGTTTGTTTCTTGTTTCACTATCATTTGCCTCTGAAGCAGGTCTTGATTTTGTTGATATAAAAAAAAAACATGGAAAAGGTCATGGCACTGCCTCTGGCCAGGCTAAAGGAACTTAAGACACGCCCCCTCGACGATTATTGGCTCAAGTGCACGACACGGGTCGCCCTAACATGGCTCCTTATTGGTGGGCATCCCTGCAGTAACGAGAAGAGAGCACTGCAGACAGGCCTACACCATAAAAACAAAAATGACCCTGTTGCCAGGTAGATAATGATGATGCAGACAGTCGGAAAAAGGGGGTGGGTAAATCTCGACTCAAAACTTGTGAGGGAGGAAATTCATCATCATTTCCAATCAAGTGACGGGCCAACTTTTGGCAGGCTGGTAAGAAGACAAAATACACGTTTCCATTTCGGTCGTTTCTGAGTAAACTAAGTACGCCAATCGTGCGCGGCGAGAGTGTACACCATCTCCTTCTGTACTTTTGTATTATACTGAGTAGGCTACAAAGACGGTACCGCTACTTTAGCCCGTCCTTTGTAGTCAATCATAAATAAAATAGGCCTATCGGCTGAAGAGGCTGCGATGAGGTTAATTCATTCACACAATTATAAAAGAACCAATTTGTGGAAAGGAAGAGCCCAAACTGCAGAGCTGTAGCGTGTTCATCCCGAGGCGAACTGCGAAGACAGATAGCACGATGCAGTATTTCAGAAAAGAAAATTATTCCCCAAACAGTCACGCTCAGAATGCTTTTGGGCACCGGCAATGCTGATCAATCGCGCTTGGGCCATGGCGGGGTCTTTAAATAAAGAAGCCGTGGGGACCAACCAGATGTTTTAGAAAAATTATCAGCTTTGGGGAGCATCACCCAAACAGGGCAGGATGTTTAAAATTTATAAGCATATTGCCCTGGACTCCTATTTTATGCGCAGGTACGGGTGCGTAGCCAGACTTTTTTTGAGGGGCACGGCGAGTGTGGGAAGAACGGGAGGGGCCTGAAGAAAGTACAATCTTTATAATACGGATTATTTTCAGTTTGAATTGGATCCAACTAAAAAGCTTCCCAGATGGAGCTGTTTTGAGGGCGTGCGCGTTTCGACAATTTGTGATAATTGATTGTTACTTATTAATGCAACCTTCAATACATCAACCTCGCTCCCAGAGTTTACTTTCAACAGTATCCTGCAATAGAAAGTAAAGGATTAATTTCTTATACTTGGCGATTTTTCCCCAATGGATACGTGTTTTAACATTCATTCTGGGAATGTCATCGTGGGATGGGGGGGGGGGGGGGTTAGAGCTTGTAGCCAGAGATTTGCAGTCGCGGATCGCGGAGACTTCGAAAAGCTGGTTAGTACATACACCACACCTTGGGACAATAAAGCAATACACCAACCATTGCGCGAGTATATTGTCCTCGCTTTTCCGGTGTTTTGTAGTGCGCAGCGACTCTTTTGCGCTTCAAAATGAACAAATCATAGCAGTCTGATAGACGTTCAGAGTTCAATGTGATAAATGGCTTATTTTGTCAACTTCAAATTGGTTGATGTTCGCTTTGGAGAGGTATGGGATTTGTTCAAATTTTGAGCCGAACTTCTAGTAGTCTAGTACGATGTTTGGAAAGACAAGCACAGCGAATGTTAATGAGGAAAATGTCAAAGTGCGCCACGTTCGGGGACTCCGGCTATAATTATGTTGATTACTTCAGAATCATGAAAAATCCAAAACGAAACGAGAGTTCGAAATCAAGTTAGCTGTAGGTATTTCCATGTACAAAATTAGCTGTTTTCTGTAAACGTTATCACACTAGCATTTTCGACACCGTGCATGTTACTTTATGAGCAGTTTATTTGGGGGACAAGGAAACAGAACATTGTACAAAGCTCACACATAAGTATAAGTGCTAAACTTTGAAAGCAAAATCATACATGTGAAATAACAGAATGTAGTCAAAACTACTTTCGGCAGTATTACTTCACATTTTTATCACCCAGTTCGTTTTATGAGCATTACTTAATTATGCCGTTAACCGGGTTTGTATAGACGCGCGGCGGGTATCCATTACGTCAAACAGCTGAATGCGCATGGCAAGTTTCCATTGGTGAAAAGTTATACATGCACTCTGGAGAAGCGTACTCGACTGTCTTTAGGCCAGCTACTGGCCACCACAGCGTTTCTTACGCCGTCTTTGGTGTGATGTGTCTTCCCCTGGTCGTTCGTTGCGGCTCGGAGAGTGAAGGTGGAATTCGAGGTGAGGAATTTCCAATCACAAAGCCAGTTCGGTATTCCAACTATAGGCCTACCCATGTGCACATCAGGATGTGACGAGTTTCCTTTCGGAGTAAACTTCTTGCCGTATGCGTGCAAAATCATAGCGGGTACCAGCAAGAAATAAAAGATAACTGTCTTGTTCTGAAGTGAGCACAAAATGTCACAAAGTTTTGACAGTGGGAGGTCTATGTATCCCTGAGCCCATCTCACCTCTAGGCTTTGCACTGCTGACTATGGCAAACGATTTCACGAAACATTGCAGATTGTTTCCGGTGTATTTTCTTGAGTCGTGTTTTTGTGGAGAGCCGCCCTACTGTGCAGATGCAGCTGCACAGCCCCGAAGAAACTTTATATATTTCCGGCAATTTATATGTATTTTTTTTTTCAAATTAATATCCATTCTATTGTAATAATTTATTGTAAACATGAACAAACTGAAGCATTATGAAAAGCAAATAATTATTCAGGCCCTATAGCCAAAAGACGATTAAACCACAAGAAGAGATAAGTGGCATGTTTCTATTGAGGTCGAGTTTGAGTTTGAGTATCGCAAGTCCATCAATGAAATTAACATAAAGCTTACACAAGACGTAGAAACATTGCCTTTGTACGTCAAATGAAGATGCCCAACCAAAACAAAGCCATAATGATGTAAACAAAAACGCGGCACGAGAACAGTGTTTACAATTCGTTTGTTAGGTATTTTTACACATGCTAAAGTAACATTCAAATTTGCCTTTCTATGAGCAGCATTAAAAAAAAATATACATATTTCTTCATTTTTCAAACATGTCACGATCGGGCTACCGTACATGAGAACGAAAAGATTTTTGTTTATTATATATTAGTTGACTTGATAGTACATGAATTTCAATGGCTTAATTTAAAGGAATTGGCAATACAAAGTTCGCTTTATTAGCAGTGATCAAAAAAGGCATCCACTTTGCACTTCAAGTTAAGCTATCTAACTACATAAGAGCCATAAAGAAATGCGTTAAGCACGTATAGAATGAGATTGCTTCAGATCCTGTTAAATTACATAAACTTACAGATCTAAAGTTAAAATCAAATTTGAAGGTATTTTATCACAAGTAAAAATGGAATAATTCAGTAGGAATTACACAGTTATACAACATAAGTTTTCCAAAAGCCGGTTTTTTTTAAAGCAGTATTGAAAGAACAAAGTGACATTAACACCATAGTGCTGTTTTACAATTACATAACACAAAATGGCATGTTGTTGTGAATCAATAACACACGGCATAAAGAAGGACTTCACTTGCTCGAAGACATTTCCGTCATTTTTCGGGTATATGTAGCCTAAGGTGTGATGAAATAAAAACGACTACTGTTTCTGTCATAAATTGAGTACAAAAGGTACTTTTGAGAGCTGTTTTTCAAGTCCTGTCATGCCTGTTTCGACCCGAAAGTGCAATTTGTGTAAAAGTCGTCGTTGCGGGCAGCAAAAAAACCCACAGTAAATCGTGACGTAATAAACAGGACTCCCGATGCAGAGTAGCATAAACGAGTGCTGTTTATTACGTCACGATTTACTGTGTTTTGTTTGCTGCCCGCAACGACGACTTTTACACAAATTGCACGTTCGGGTCGAAACAGGACCTGAAAAATAGCTCTCAAAGTACCCTTTGTACTCATTTCATGACAGAAACAATAGTCGTTTTTATTTCATCACACCTTAGGCTACGTATACCCAAAAAATGACGGAAATGTCTTCGAGCATTCCACAACCTCTTTAAGTAAAGATGTCTTATCAAACAAAATAACGCATGAAAGAAAGAAAAAAATCGTTTGTTTGATTTTTTATAACATACAAGGGCTTAATTTAGAACGTTTCGTGTTACGAAGTTGCTTTAGGAGCAGTATTTAAATAAAAACCAATACAGTGCTGTATATATAGGCACATTGTTCAAAGGCGAATAACTTTGCATCGCTAGAAAAATAATCGATATTTCAGGAAAATAATTCGAAAACGGTACGGGGAATACACCTTCAATTCGCAGTTTGATTGACGAAGAGAACGCTTAAAAACGTGGAGCATTTCGAGTTTGTTTTAGTGGGGGAGGGGAAGGGACCCCTGTTCTTAAATGGGGGCGCTGTTCAAAACGGACGATATGGGCACTATCGGGCAATCGGTGGCGCTCTTCATCCCGGCACATTTGCCGACGGACAGACGATTTTGCCGACAAAAACGATTAAGAGGTTTCACTCCCCCATTCCCAGTGGCGTAACTACGGGAGGGGGTTGGGGGCAACAGATGCCCGTGTCCCTCCCAACAGATATCCGTGCCCCTGTCCTCCCCGGGCCCGTTTAAAGTCTTTCATTGAACAAAAATATATAGGCCAATCACTTGTATTTTAGTTCCCCTTGAAAAATGTAGGCCTAATACCCCCAGGTGCCCCCAGAAGTTTAACCCTACATGTATGTCATTGCCAACGCCCCCCGTCTAGCGACGCCTGTGCAGGTAGAATCATGAGGTCAACATTCTTGTTTTGCAAAAGCCTTCGAGTCCTTTAAGGTTTTTTTTTAACCAAATGGAACTTTAGCAACACGCTTCTTTGAAACTGTATCCCCTCAATAGTTTACGCCTGATAGGCTACAATTAGACTCGGTAGATCTTTTGCAAATTCGCTTAAAACCTTACACGTGTGCTTTTAAAAACATTTTCCTTTCTAAACAAACAAAATTTGAAGTATGAATCAAAATCTATTCGCAATTTAATATCCAAAATAAGTACAATTAATTCATAGTACATATTTTAAAGTATAAGTGTTGCAACTTCAGGTCGAACAAGATGTTGACTCGAGCGGGATTTGAACCAGAAACCTCCGGAAGACTCGCAAACTCAAAATATTATAATGCTGTATATTCATGAACATATTCCATTTTTTTGCCAGGAACATACTGTTTGACAAACACAAAATATTAACACTTATGTAATATATACAGGGTCTACATTCCCTTCTTGGCTAGGAATATACTGTTGGGCAAACACAATATATATATATTTTTCGTCATTCTGCTGATGAGTGCCTTATGGTACGAAACAGTCTGTTCAGAAAGAGAATATTCTGAATTTATTGCATATATATATATATATATATATATATATATATATATATATATATATATGCAGTCTACATGAACATAATATTCCATTCTTTGCTAGGAAAATGGGCAAACAAAATATTATATAACATAGTCGTTACGGATAAGGTTGGACCAAAATCACGTTCACGAAACCATTTTTGCATAGAACTTTGAAAAATATTTTGGAATTTAGCAGTTATATTTACATCTAATTACAATATGTATGTACACTTGGAAGTCGACCATAACACAGAAATACTGCGGTACAAAAAGTTTCACCAAATTAAAAACGAAAAACAAAAAAAGTTCCGCACAGCCCTATCACTCCACATTTTTAGTTTAAATTTCACTATCCTACATTATTATGAAGAATCTTAAGTTAACAGTACACAAAGCAATGGATTTTTTTTTCAATTTAAAGCAAAGTGGTTAGTTGCTCTGTACGTTTTGAGCATAATTTTTATTAATTAGGCTACTGAAAGTTTTGCAGCAAGTTGATAGCTCATTTTCAGTGTTTGGCAACTTGCGTCTTAATTAACAAATCTTGCTTTTTGTTGTTTTTTCCCCCTCAGAGCATTAGTACTATTATGAGTTATTATAACTCGTCTTTTATCATGCTATCACTGTTAGATAAACAAGGTAGCTTCACTAGATTGTGTGTCACTTTTGCAGTTTGCGTCTGTTATAAGTGGAAGGGACATGCTTTGTAATGTTAGAATGAGATCAAATCGGTAGAGTATGTGCAAACCCCGCCCAAAATCTTGTTCCACTGGTAACTTCACACTTGTTCTGCATGATTATACATGAATATTTCACACTTTCAAATGCAATTTACATCAATCGTAACATGCTAACATTTTAAAATTTCGTTTAAAATACTAAAACCTTAATATTTTTTTTCATGAAGAATAAAGCTCTATTTGGCAAACAAGCATTCCGAAATTTGTCGGTCCATGATTTCAGTGGCCGAGTAAATATGAAAAAAAACATTTATAGGCCTACATGTGCTTTATTAAGCATAGAAATTGCACATAGGATGAAAAAAGTGGTAAAAGAAATTAAAGGCAAGTAAATTTGCTGTAATGGACATTAAAACAACACTGACATCAAGTCACAGACAAAAAAAGTCACCAAATATAACATTTGATTCAGAGTTAAAACCCATGCTCAACGTAGAACGATTCAGAAAGAAGTAAAAAGCAATGTACATCCGTCATGATGCAGCAAAGTTTAAAACTATTTGACAGATAAACTATCAATTAAAAATTTAAGTAGCAAAAAAATATAAGTTACACTTGTTTTTTTGGGCAAAAATTGTATTTTATGTAGCTTATCTCTTAAATGATTTTCATCTCTAACTTCAAGTTGTTTAAGTAAACTTATTGCAGTTGAACACCTTTATAACTAGGTCCTATAGGCCCAAGTTTTCACATACCTAAACTATGTCTTATATCCTGCAATAATTTGGTTTGGCACGGCTCTGAAATAGCATCACCCTTAACCTTGCAAAACCTGAAAGCCTGCCTCCTTCCACACTTCGGGAGTTGTGACACCGCCCATCTCATGATGGACCTTGATGCTCTGAGCATTCAGGTCGTATCCGTGGGTTGAGTGCAGAGTCAGGGATTTCTGCATGGTGCCTAACTGGTTGTGACAGTGAAAAGACCTGCATTGCCAAACAGACACAAGTGATCAGATGTACTCACAAATCTTCTCTTTTGCCTTGGCCCAATAGGTATGTACAAATGTTTCTTTCTTTTTATACACATCTCTAGGTTCCTTTATTTCTGTTGTTCACATTTTCATTCACTTGGAGTACTCAATCAATGACTTGAGTTGATCAAATGGTTGAAGGTAAATTGTTCTTTGAATTTGTCGACTTTACTCTTTTGCCAAGTTATAAAGAGATTGACAAGATTGAACTTTGTTTTTATGATGCTTATATTTCCATTATTGTTTGTACATCACTTTTTGTAACTTCGGATGAGATTTAAGATAATATAAGTTTGATTAGTTTTTAGCAACTTAACTTTAGTCATTCACTTCAGTTATTCATGGAAAGTTTCACTAAGTTTCCTGGATTTGAGGAAAGTTTGGTGAAAGTTTGTGGAGTTGATGACTTGGATTGTATTCATTCAAGAAACTGGACCATGTATGTTTTATAGTAAACTGCGTTTATAGTAGATTGTAACATCAAATGTAAGTTTCACCATTTAGCCCAGGAAATTTCCATTGCAAGCACTGAATGTATATAGATAAGTTGTGGAGAGCGAATATTAATTAGGCTAGCTAGAACAATTATTTGTTTGTGTGTGTAGTATGGAAAGACCACCTGTCACAGTGTGGGTAGCACTGGAGGAGCAGTATGCCCCAGGCCATTGACCATACAGTGGAAAGTCTGTTGCTTACATGTATATTGTAGAGTTTGCAGAATCCAGTATAGGTGGCGCTGTTTACTTTTAGTGGAGGTTGGGGTCAGCGCAAATCAGCGTGAATTTGGCGCGAAAAGTGCGCGCGCGCGCGCGCGGTTAGTTGCTGTACAGATCTTGGTTGTGAAGGTTGTTCTGAAAGGCCAGCTCCGTGCGTACACACCCCAGGCTCCACGTTGCGATTACCAGTATAGTGCAGTTAAAGGTAAATCACAAGTAATACTGATATCGTGTGTTCATTGTTTGGATGTTTGGAGGAAAGAATTAGAAGTTAAGAAACCGGAATATTGGTGTCATTTGTGTCTTATTCTGTCTGTCCACCGAATAAAATTGAACCCCCGAAAACGCTACATTGGTGGCAGCGGTGAGTCAGCTTCTGTTTCGAGTAAATTTTCTCGTAGTTACGATTCCCCGATTGATCCACCGACATGTCAGACACCAACCCGATGCACCCTTCCACTCGTCCATCCATGCCCCCTCCACCCGTTTCCCTCCCGACACCATGGTTCCATACAAGTCCCCCCATTTTCCCTGCCCCGCAAGGCGACATGTCAAGTTTTGTAGTTGACATGCCGCGTGAAGTTCCCCGTGCAGCTTTTGACCCAGAGTACTCATTCCTGTCGCTACCGGGGATCCTCCCGCTAGTGACCGGCTCGTTGCAGTGGACAACCGCAGGGTATCCGGCCGAGGCCTCCACGCCCACACCATCACCCCACAGCAGAGCACTGGTGCAACCACTCTTTCACGGCGCCGCATCACACGACGGAGCCACCGATGCACCGATTGGTCCACCGATCGTTTCCTCACCACTCGTCGGTACAAGGCAGGTACATGGAGTCAACGGGGACATGACAACCCAGCACAGCAATGGCTCCGCAGTGCAACCGTGGCACGACGGACAAGGGCGACTGCACCTCGATGGCGGTTCAATGATAATACTGACGGCTGGCGCACCGGATAGCGATGCGACGGTTGTGGGGGCACCGACAGGTTCATCGTTCGTCAATCCACAGTTCATAGGTGAGCACCACGAGCACGGAGCAAGGGGCGTCGGTTCGGCGCAGCTACCCATGGGAGTTGGTCAGCAACCATGGAACGGTACACCAGGGTATGATTATGTTCGTGCCGCTGGCGGTTCAGGGGTCATACCGACGGCCAATGCGGCAGGTAATGATGCGTCGGTTTTCAGGGTATCGGCGAGTTCATCGGTTGCACCGACCGGTTCATCGGTTGTCAATCAACAGTTCATCGGTGCACAGCACGAGCACGGAACCACAGGCGTCAGTTCTGTGCAGCAACACATTGGAGTCGGTGAGCGACTATGGAACAGTACACCAGGGTATGATAATGTTCGTGCCGCTGGCGGTTCAGGGGTCATACCGACGGCCAATGCGGCAGGTGGCGGAGCGTCGGTTTTAAGGGTACTGACGGGTTCATTGGTTGCACCGCCCGGTTCATCGGTTGTCAATCAACAGTTCATCGGTGCACAGTACGAGCACGGAGCCACATGCGTCGGGTTGGCGCAGCAACACATTGCAGCAGGTCAGCGACCATGGAATGATACACCAGGAGTCGGTCAGCGAAATGTTCGTGCTGCTGGTGCTTATCCACAACGATCAAACACAAGTCCGTTTGCAGCAGCTGCAGGAACTGTAGATCGACCAGTGCAGGGGCGGTTGCGTCCACTTATGCGACCCGATAGATACAATGGGACGACTTCATGGACTGCATACTATCGACACTTTGAAATGTGTGCCAGTATTAATGGATGGGGGGAGATAGAGAAAACGGAGTATCTTGCTGTATCCTTGGCCGGTGCAGCCCAACAGGTGCTGCAGGGTCAGACAAACGATGGGACACCGTTAACATTCAGCGGTCTGGCAAATGCTTTGAAAGCAAGGTTTGAACTAGATGGACGGAAGGAACTCTATAGGGTGCAACTTAAGAACAGGCACCAGAAAAATTGAGAGACTCTGTCGGAGCTCGCACAGGATATTCGGCTTCTCGTTGACAAGACTTTCGGCGAGCTTCCAGCCGCCGGGGTGGCGACAATGGCCAGAGATTATTTTCTTGATGCTTTGGCAGATGGAGACACGCGGACACGGACGCTTCAAATGCATCCCTGTAATTTAGAAGAAGCACTCACAGCTGCGATCGAACTTGAAGCGATAAAAGGTGCTGAGCAGGAGAACAACACCAAGATACTACGCTCCATAGGGGGAGGGAAGGAAGAGGTGATTGTCAATGAGGTCGGCAAATGTGAACCCCACGACAGTGCCGTATCCAAGCTTAAGCAGCGTATGGAAGAGATAGGCAAACAGCTACAGTCATTGATCCGGCGAGAAAATGACTTCCGAAAGAACCAGAAAGGATGTTTCAAATGTGGAGAACAGGGCCACTTCAAGTGGGACTGCCCCAAATGGTGCACCCAAAAGACAGAAACAGAACAGCAGGGAAACGAATAAAGGCTGACTCCGAGGGCCGACGGTCAGCAATGCACGAAAGGCCACCACAGAAAGTGTTTTATAGCGGAACCATAGCCCCGGTTGGGGCGGGCCTCCATGTAGCTGGGCACATCAACAGAACTCCAGTAGAAATGCTTCTCGATACGGATGCGACTATCTCCATCGTTTCCAAAAGAGTGGTAGATCAGTTGGATAACAAACCAATAATCAAGAGTTCTAGCGTGCAAGTTTTCCAAGCAAACAAGACATTGCTAAGTGTTTATGGGGAGACAACAGTCGAGCTTCAGCTAGCTGGTAGAAAGGTGCACCACGAAATGGTGATAGCTGATATTCATAATGACATTCTTCTTGGATTGGACTTCCTGGAAAAGCACAACTGCGTCATCGACGTTGGAAGAAGACACCTCGTGTATGGAAATTTAGAAGTTCCTCTGAGAAACATCAACGTACGACAACAGAGCTGCCGAGTGACGGTGAAAGATACAGTAGCTATTCCACCATTTTCTGAGATTGTTGTGGAAGGTGACATAGAGCAACAGAACTGTGCAGTTGGCATTGGGATTGTTGAACCGATCCAGAGCTTACTGAAGAAGCACAGCATACTTCTCGCCCCAGCAGTGACTCGGTCTGATACGTCTTGGGTTCCGCTTCGCATCTTAAACCCCAGTGAGGACACAGTTATCTTGCGAAAGGGAACAGCAGCGGGTTTGTTCCACACCGTAGACGTTATTGGCCCCCCCAATTTCCAGCACAGAAGTGAGAACTGGTGAAACTGTCGGAGAAAGGGTTGAACAAGTTACGGCAGAGCAGAGGACAGATACACAGAATGGCCAACTCCCAGAAACAATGCAGGAAATGTTGCATCGTGCCTCGTCCCAATTAAGCGAGGAGCAGAGGGGCCGCATACACAGGCTTATTTGCAAACACCGAGATGTGTTTTCTCAACATTAAGGAGACATTGGCCTTACTTCATTAACTGAACACTCCATAGACACCGGAAGTGCGAATCCCATAAGACAAGGGGCTCGTCGCATACCCCTCCTTCAGAAAGAGACTGTAGAGAAAGAAATCAAGAAGATGATGGACGGCAGCATCACAGAACCGGCATCCGGACCTTGGGCAGCACCTATTGTGCTCGTGAAAAAAAGATGGTTCAGTTCGATTCTGCGTTGATTATCGTAGGCTCAACGCCATCACTAGGAAGGACGCTTATCCAATACCCCGAATAGATGACTCATTCGAAACACTTGGAGGATCCAGATATTTTACAACATTGGACCTAGCCTCAGGGTATTGGCAAGTACCAATGAGCGTGGCAGACAAGGAAAAGACAGCTTTCTCAAGTCATTGCGGGCTGTACCAGTTTAGGGTCATGCCGTTTGGGCTTTGCAATGCCCCTTCGACTTTTGAACGTCTAATAGAGAGAGTCCTCCATGGGCTACAGTGGCAGATATGTCTTGTGTACCTAGATGACGTCATTATATTCTACAAGACATTTGAGTCGCACATTGACAGACTGGGAGTGGTGCTAGATCGCATAAGGCAGGCCGGACTGAAGCTCAAGCTGGATAAATGTCATGTGCTTCAGGAAGAGGTGTCCTACTTGGGGCATATTGTCTCAAAAGGGGGAGTCAAGACAGATCCAAGCAAGACGCGGCAAATCGAGGAATGGCCAGTACCAAGAAACATACAGGAGGTGAGAAGTTTCTTGGGCCTGGCATCATACTACAGGAGGTTTGTAGCTTCCTTTGCAGAAATCGCCAGACCACTTCACAAGCTCACAGAAAAAGACAAGGACTTCAGGTGGACGCATGACTGCCAATTGGCTTTCGAACAACTGAAACAGCGGCTTACTTCTGCTCCGGTTTTGGCATACCCGAAGCTTGACGCAGAATTCATTCTGGACACCGACGCCAGCAATAGCGGTATAGGTGCTGTTCTTAGCCAACTGCAAGATGGTCAGGAGCGCGTAATTGCTTACGCCAGTCGTGCCTTGTCAAAGCCAGAGCGAAATTACTGTGTAACGGGAAAGGAGTTGCTTGCTGTCGTACACTTCATCAAACACTTTCGACCTTACTTATATGGGTGCCGCTTTCTTCTTAGAACAGATCATGGATCTCTCCGATGGCTCTTCAATTTCAAAGAACCAGAGGGGCAGGTTGCAAGATGGCTGCAAGTGCTGGCAGAATATGACTTCAATATTGAACATCGACCGGGACGTTAGCACAGCAATGCCGATGCCATGTCAAGAAGGCCGTGCACTTGTACACGGTGTAAGGGCAACCAAGTTGAGCAAGGATACGACAGCAGGGAACAGCCATCGCGTGAGGGACGGACACAAGTTAAGGGAGACCAGCACCATAGCACAAAGGAGAAATGCCAACAAATAGAAAGGCTGTGGAAAATTCAAGAGCAAGATCCAGACCCACCAACTGAACCAGTCCATTCACTACCTGCGCAGCATCATACACACAGTTCTGACAGCAGCCAGTTCAATCGTGAGGTGTCGTCTTTCTGTTGGCAGAAAGGTTTCACTGCTTCGGAGTTGAGAGAAAAACAAACAGGTGACCCGACTCTGCAGAAGATCATAGGCTGGCTGGAAAGTGGAAATCCACGACCAACTTGGAGAGAGGTGTCTGCTGAAGGTACATGGCTCAAAACCTTTTGGGGGGGCATGGCAGCAGCTTTGTTTACACGACAGAGTGTTATACAGGCGTTGGGACGAGAATGATCGGCACCACTCTCGGTGGCTTCTAGTAGTCCCCAGGTCCCTCCGTGCAGAAGTTTTCAAGCAACTTCATAACGACCCTACAGCTGGCCACCTCGGCATTAACAAAATGCATGCAAAGGTGAAGACAACAGGTCTCCGGGGTTCCGATGGAAAGGGTCGCCATTGATATTACAGGACCATTTCCAATTACAGAAACAAGAAAAAACCGATACATCTTTGTCATCACGGACTACTTCTCTAAGTGGACGGAGGCCTTTCCCCTACAGGATGTTACAGCCCAGACGGTTGCCAATGTCTTTGTCAGAGAGGTTGTTTCTCGATTTGGTGTACCACGACAGCTGCATAGCGACCAGGGTTGCCAATTCGAGAGCAAGCTGTTTCAGGAGATGGTGAAATCCTTGGAATAGATAAGACCAGAACAAGTCCCCACCATCCCCAAAGCAACGGCCAAGTTGAACGATTCAATCGCACGCTTAAAGACATGCTGAGTGCCTATGTTACTGAAAATCAGTTGGATTGGGACCTTCATTTACCACTAGTGATGATGGCATATCGGGCATCAGAGCATAGCAGCACTGGACAAACACCCAACTATCTCACTTTTGGTAGGGAAGTAGAACTCCCGGTAGACCTGATTTTAAGATCCCCAGAAGAACCCCAAGAAATCACTGAATATGCCATCCACCTGAGAGAAAGAATGCACGAGGCCCACGAGAAGGCAGGAGTACACCTTCATAAAGCCGCAAAGCACAAAAGTGGAATTACCAAGTAGCAGGCAAGCCGAAGTGTCTGGAACCAGGGACTGATGTGATGTTGACAGTTGAGCAAAGAACTGTTGGGCTGTCTCCCAAGCTCCAGCCAAGATGGGATGGCCCATACCTTGTAACTGAAGTGCTAAATGATGGCAACGTCAGAATCCAACGAGGATCACGCCATAAGCCCAAAGTTGTCCATATGAATCGTCTGAAGCGCTTTGTGGGTGAAGTGGACAAGTCATGGTGGAGGCCAAAGAGCCCTGCATTACAGCAACTTCCTGGGTCCGAGGAGCTCGAAGAGGAGGGGGAAGAGGAAGCCCCTGGAGTTGTTCTGCAGCGGAATTCTTCTGGTGGAGGCAAGGAGAGCCAAGATGCTACCACAGAAGGGTTCTCACAGGAATCAGCAGAAGACCACAACATGCAGGAACATATGGAAATCGTCAATGGAGAGATGGGGGATCCACCAGTTGCTGAACCTAAGAAAGCTTCAGACACAGACAGTCATCAGGAAGGGCACAACAGAAAACGTCGACCTCCTCAGCGTTATGGCGAATGGACCGAATAACATTTTTAACTACGGAGCAAATACGAATTAATCTAATCCCCTGTTCTCTGTTGTATTCTCTGCAGATGCCGAAAAGAAGTCACAGCCGTCACCCCCGGGATTCTCCTCGCCGATTGCCCACACCTGACCAAACCCACCAACGACATGATGAACGAGCGGAAAGCTGCAGGTGCCTCGAATGCGATAAGTCATTTGGGGCCAAGTCAGCATTGGCAAGGCACATGGCCGAACAACACCAACCACGTGATCGGTTCCCCTGTCCGTTTTGCGACATAATCTACGGCCGGAAAAACGACTTGGCGAGGCACATCCGATGGGCTCACACAGGCAATCTTGATGTAGGCAACCAGTCGCCGGTATCAGTCAGCAACTCCCCCAAAGCTCCCAAGACGCCCAAGATCTCCGAGACGCCCGAGAAGAAGTCTGGACTGTGCCTGGAATTACACCCGTCTCCAGATGACGCGAGGCGTTTGGCTTCGCCACAAGGTGCAACATCCTTAAGGAGAGTTCTCATACCCCCAAGTTCTGCAACGGTTTCAGGCCAATCAGATGAGGCAACAGGAAAGCTTGTCAAGTGGAGGCGCGTTTTCGACCTCTACGATGAGGATTCCTTGATCGCGAGGATTACTTCGGAGGAATTCTTTCAGGAGTAGGACATGGTGGTCCACTTATAGTTTTAACTGTTCTTGTTTTTTTAGAACCTTAACTTGTTAATGGCGTTTTTCTAGTTAAATTTGTTGTTCGTGAAAGCGGGACGCACTCTTTTCCCGGGGAGGGGATGATGTAGAGTTTGCAGAATCCAGTATAGGTGGCGCTGTTTACTTTTAGTGGAGGTTGGGGTCAGCGCAAGTCAGCGTGAATTTGGCGCGAAAAGTGCGTGCGCGCAAGCGGGGTTAGTTGCTGTACAGATCTTGGTTGTGAAGGTTGTTCCGAAAGGCCAGCTCCGTGCGTACACACCCCAGGCTCCACGTTGCGATTACCAGTATAGTGCAGATAAAGGTAAATCACAAGTAATACTGATATCGTGTGTTCATTGTTTGGATGTTTGGAGGAAAGAATTAGAAGTTAAGAAACCGGAATATTGGTGTCATTTGTGTCTTATTCCGTCTCTCCACTGAATAAAATTGAACCCCCGAAAACGCTACAATATCAACAAGGGTGCTGGCCAGCCTGAGTAATGTGTTTATCTTTAAGACATGGCAGATAAGAGTTCTGGTAATTGTGGCCGCGAGATTACTAAGTTTAAGTTTCCCCTGTAGGATAGGTAGTACATGTAGTTGGCCATTAGTTTTAAAGTGATGTTGCTCCTGAAGTTTGATAGTATTGGCCATACTGATTTAAAACGTTGTTATTTAGGAAACTGACTTAACCTTTTTCTTGTACATTGTTTGTTTATTATGATTTTTGAATAAACACTTTCACATATTTTGGCAAAGTAATCAGACGTACTCACAACAGTCTTCTCTTTTGTCTTTGCCCACTAGAAATAACGTTACCGCATGACAGCTGGGTAACAGTAACAATGCAAAATAATAATGCAACTGTATCCTCACTCCTATAGGCCATGGAGACTCGTAAAACTGACACAGAGCCAGAGGCAGGGATGATGTAGAAGCTCTGTTGCCAGAGCTTAAAAAAGAAATTCTCAAGCTTCTCTCGGAACGCTATTAAAATATGAATTACTTTTAGGGACAGCATCTGCTTAATTTCCCGTCGAGTTTTCCACAGATGGAAAAGAGGAAACTTATGATTACTGATTACCAGGGAAGCTGGTGGCCTCGAAATAGTAGCAAATGAAAACTTCAGAGTACACTTCAGTCCTACTCACCAACCATCTCGCTGTCTCGGTTACGCTGCGGTCCGCTGTATCTAACCTCCTTCACCCATTTCTTAAACTCTGGACTGGTACAGGTCACGTGACCAGCATCACCCCTTTGTCTGAGCTCAGACGCCTTGCAGACGAGAGCAGAGCACTTCTTGCAGTGTATGGTAATTTTGTGGAGGCTGTTCATGTACTGCTGATGTTCTGCCTCTTTCTCTGTTATCTGTATCTTCTTCAATATCTCATTCTGTGTTTGAAAACCAAATAATTGAAGAGGTCACTAAGCTTGGAGTCATCATTCTGAAGGTGTCGACCTTAACTACTTGTAGGCATACAGGCGTACTATAAGGTTTGACATGCCACAGGGGGAGTGTGTCCAAGTGGTTGCAACTCAGACTCACAGTCAGAGGGTAAGGGTTCGAATCCAGCTGCTCAACATTTGTTGGGCAGGCCACTGCACCCTACTTGCCTCTCTCGGCCCAGCAGTACAAATGGGCACTGGGGAGTAAGCCAGTGATGGACTGGCATCCCATCCAGGGGAAACAGAAATGTTCTCTGCTACATGCCAAGATATTTCCTTGGTCCGTTTGGCCATTTTGGCTTGCGGCAAACTTTACTTACTTTATGAGTCTTTCATGGAAATGTTTAAAGTTCTTACTTGATGTTTCAATATTGTGAATGATGTCCTCATACTCAATCAAACTGCTTGAATGGACAATGCCCTCAAAAGATGTCTGCAGGGCCTATCTCGAAGGTAAGGTCCTATTAACTCACTTGTCTCTCTTTGATCCTGTCGAGTCGCTGATTCTCAGTCATCGCCTCCAGTTCTTCCATGACCTGCTTCATCTTCTGAACTTCATTACGGTTGAGGTATTCTCTCTTTTCATTCAGTGATCCACTGCAGAGATGGTATGTGCAATTGTTACATTTAGACCATGTTTTCAGTGTTTTAGAGAATCTGCATCTCTGACATCATGTTAGCAAATTTCTCTGAAATTCTATTAAAACAAACCCTGATGAGCCCCAGCTTGGGCACTCTACATGTTTGTTCACTTCCCAAAGAAATATGTTTGTCTTCAATGGATTGTTTAAAAAAGGATTTAATGGTAGGCATTGATTTAAACCATTGCATATAGAGATGGACCTATCTTTATATCCATTATAACCGTGGTAGAGCTCCAAAGGCTATTTTCTTCACCTTTCAACAATCAGGAAGCACTTGCTGCCCTTTGCCCTGGCTCTTCCCTTGGACTGCACCGTGCCAATCTCATTGCTGACAAAGTTGTAGCGGATGACAAAGTTACAGGCTGGCATGTCCAGCTCTTCTTGGGCAATGTCAGTGGCTACGAGAACATTGCATCCATCCTCTGAAAATAATTAAAAAAAGAGACGTGCAGCACACAAAATCTACTCAACTGATTCACACAGTTGCTCTTCACTGGAACTTCTGGAAGTGCACTCGGTGTACATAATTGGCCAGATAAAGTTCAATAGGCCTACAGTGTATTATGATGGCACTGCCTGACTCTCTTCATAGGCTGAATAATAAGTTACAGCCTTATAGCTCCATGGTCAGTCAGAATGTTAGGTTCAAAACAGGTCTGGCCCACGTGTGGATACCAACTTTGATACACCTGCTCTGAAATGGTTAAGGACAAAATGTTTTTAAGAGTGCTAGAAGAGCTGAGGCCTATAAAGGAATAGCAATATGTGTATGATTTCATAACTAGAAAGATTGAATACACATGTAGGATGACATGCCTCGTTTGAAACTCTCAACGACTGCCTTCTGTTGAGCTTCTGTCAAACATCCATCTTCTATGTCTCCCTGTCCAACTAACCGCTGCGGGACTACTCTGCAAGGTAGTGCTCTCAGGAGTGTGGACTCTTTGATGAAGTCGGCCACGGCTGTCGTAGCTTCCTTCATTCTCAGCAGAACAATTCCTGGGGAGCAGATTATCAAAGATTAATAAAGATTGAATAAATAAATGAATGAAACTCATAGGGACACGGAGGCTTCCCGGACCTTTTACACCTACAAAAAGAAAAATTCATCAATTATTTTATTTGTGAATGATTATCTATCAAGTCTATACGTAAAGATACAGAAGCAAAGAGTTAGAAACACAAGTCTTCATATTAAATGTTTCATGAGTTTCTTTGATCTACAATTTTATAACTCGAGAATTTAAACAAACACAGCGGAATCCGGCGACCAGAATTTTACTACGGTTGTGTCACGCTACGCATGCTGCACACATTCTTTAAAAAATGACACAGCGCACGGCACACGCTTTTTGGTATTCCTATGGTCGAACAAATATGAGCGTGACTCTCCCGAGCCTGGTGCCACTGCGGAAAATGGCTGCCGCCGGATTTGTCTATTATAAATAAATTACCTTTTGAATCCGGTTTCTCTTTGAAGATGCCGTATAGCAGTAATGTAAGTTTTCCTAGCTTCTCATTGCTGTTTTTGTCCTCTGCTAGACCACGTCTTTTCATCTCTGCAAGGTTTAAATCAAAGAGCTTGTGACAGTGCTGCTCGACAGGGACTTGCATTTCATGGGCAGTCCAACTTCTCGAACGGTCGTGGAACTTCTCCAAATGATCAAGGCCATCAGTGACCCTAAGGTCATCATAGAGCATCATGGTACGATTATATTCGTACAGGTACGTGCATACGATGGCAGTGGTGCGATTTCCCAACTTCTGGGCATCTGTAAGACGTCTCATAACTTCAGCTTCATAGAGCTGGCAGCCGCGGGGAGGCAAGATATGCTCTTCCATGTCTGGGAGCAGATCCTCTATTTGGGCCATCAGAGCCTGCAGCAGATCTGCAAACTGCTTATCATTGGGTGCTCTAGTAGCGACACTTTCTATTTCATCCTCCTCCGGGCTATTACCATGTAGAGTCAACTCTGTCGTATTCCTAAGAATCCATACAACCCCTTTAGAATCCATGTTACCACATAGTGTCAGGAGCTGACTGAGTGCCTCACTCCCAACACCCAGAGAAGCACTCAGACCAATAATAAAAGGAAGGCGCGGTCCAGAGACTCCAACTCCCTGCGGACTCGGGAGCCTCTGCTTCTGTTTCAGGTACGTCTTCATGATCTCGTTGTATGGATGTTTTAGATCAGTATGATGACACTCATCAAAGATGAGCATGTCCAAATCTTTGATATCAATTTTGTTGGACTTCAGGGCATTGAGGAGGATCTGTGCTGTCAACATCAGAACTGCAGGCTTGGCATCGTCAAGCTTCAGAGCTTCTTCAAATGACTGCTGCTCTCCAATGGTCTGCACATCCTGCTTGTTGGGGAAGTACCACCGAAATGCATTCTTCTGTTGCACTGTCAGATGACGCATGTTGTTAATGAAAAGAGCCTTGAAGTGCTTGTGTGGAACATGGTCCTCAATCCAGGCCCAGTACTGGTAGCATATGTATGCTGCTGTCAGGGTCTTCCCAATGCCTGTCGGAGCGCAGATAATGTGATTTTGGAAACCCTGAAGAGGCATCTCAGCCACTTCTCTCTGGTAATCTCTCTGATCAGGTTGTCTTCGATCAGTAGCCCTAGGTTGACGATTAATGCCATCAGACACATCTACCGAAGGACTAGATGCTGACTGCTGACCCTGCTGCGGGGAGGATGAGCCACATGGATTTCTTGCTACACTCACCCTTTCTGCATCATTGAAGGAATCTGACGACAGATCCAACGTAGGCCAAATTGTTGAGGCCTGACCTTGGTGTGGAATAGAAACCCAAATCGGTTGTCTGCTCTCACTCAGTGGATCATTTCTGTTTGGGGATCGATTCAATAAAGGCCGAGTTGTTGATCCCAGATCCTGATGCGAAGATGACATCCCAAGTGGACGGCTTCTGCTGTGGGCATCTGTCCCTGGGGTCACTCTGGATGGAGTTGCTGAACCTCTTTGTCCCACTTGCACAGGTGAATGATTCTTGATGTCACCATCGTATGGAAATCCAGGACTTTTACTTGCTTCCATCGATTGGTCTGACTCCTGCAGAGACATGTCCCCAATCATCCTGTCGACACTGCTTCCCTGGACCGAATTACCAGAATTTTCCTTCTTGGCACTTTCAAAGCCAGATCCTGGACTTGAAAAGTGAGCAGACCCAGCAGACCTTTCTCCATGAACTGAAGATGCCCGGACTTTGGGATAAGCAGCCTCGTGCGAGGATTGCCTAGAGGGCTCATTCTGAAGGCTGGATGATCTTGCAAATGACCTCTGCTGCGTTGACTGACCAACTCCAGAAGTTGAGATAGGAGAACCATCAACACTGTAGGTTCTTCTCTTGGTGTTACTTTGGCCAGCAGGAGATTGCCCACCAGAAGGAGATGGCCCACCAGAAATACTGCTTAGAGTCTTACGACCCTCCCGTATCACTTGTGGGGAAATAGGAGCAAAATGACCTGGAGGCTTGAGAGTTTCTAGCTGATGGACAGGGTCAAAGGTCGGCAGTGGATTGCCAACTCGATGTAAGTTCTGTTCAGGAGATTGACCAGCTCCTTTAAAGAAAAGATAGTTTAAGTATTTCTGTCATTTTTAAAGTTATGATGTGGAAGGCAGGAACAAGCGCCATTATCAAGTGAAGCTTCATTAAAATTCTTACATACGCACCACGGTTTACTTTCAGTAGAAACTTCTTCTTCAAGTCCTCTCTTTGAATTTCGGTGAGAATCGATAGCAAAAGCTTGTAGTTTTTGTCGGAAAGAACCCCTTTGGTTTCAAGACCCTCTATAATATCACAAGCATCTCCAGTCTCTCTAAGCGATTTCGACAAAAAATCCTTGCATAGGAGTTTGATACGTTTGACTTCCTTTTTTACCAAATTTTGGATTATTTCATTAACGGCTGAACGGTAAGGTGATATACCCACAGCGTCATCACTAATGGCAGCCATGACTGATTCTAAAAAAGTGCGTTTTTTCCTTTCAGAAGCATAATTGTGAGGGATCTTTCACCACAAGTTATGACTTATGAAGTTAAGTCATGTGGATGCAAAACCAGAAAGGTTCATCAGTAAAGATCAAACTTTCCTTCTCTCTACAAGCCAAGATGGAACCGTTCCATGAAGTTATTAATTTGAAATTTCAGATAAGATCTGAAAAGAAAAAAGAAAAATGCTGGCAATTAGACCAAATTTGGCATCCGGAGAAAAGCACAGCCATATGAGTTACCATGATAAGGTGGAAGAACATAACGTCTCTTTTTTCTGCGATTTTGTGCGTATTTCTCATCAAAACTTTTTTTTTGAAGTCTCTGTTTCATTGTAACCCCCTTGGAAAGCGAATAGTGGTAGTTATTGTGTAATGTCATGAATGTAGCCATGATATACAATTTGAACAGCGCCCCCATGGAAAGGCGGGTGTCCGGTGGAAAAAAAACTGTCTACCTTTCACTAGTTTCAGCACTGATGACATTTATTGGGCGCCCCTCCAATTGAAACCTCAAACCCCCCCCCCCCCCCCCCCCCCACGTAGCCACACGCCCCCTAGGCATGCTAGGATGAGAACCCTGGCTACGCCACTGGCGATATGACTCTCAACTTTACACTTTCCTGACAGGCAAAAACTTACCATCAGTGGTATGTTCAATATTATTCAGTACATGGAGGGAAATTGACCACAAGTGATCTAGATCGTCGGTTATAAGAGTAATATGTAACTCAAATAATGGCCGGAAGCCGGAAGTCAACAACCATAAATCAATACAAATAATCTAGAAAATCACGACTGGTTCCCTGTCCCTCCATTGTACTTCGCACTTCAAATGTGGGGGCGGGAACCAGTCTGGAGAAAACCCGAATTGTGCTGGTATCCGCAGATTCCGCACCGTGGCACTGGACAGTGCGCACATTAGGCGCCGTGTGTACCAGTGATGTTAAAGCAAGACATCAGGGGAATTCCCGCCTCAGTTTAAAAATAGATTTATTACGCATTTTTATTTGAGTGAGAGGGCGCCCGCATCGATCGCGTATGCGAATTTTCGAATGACATCCCTAAATTTTCTCGGGCAAAAAGGACCAATTTTCGGCTGTAATTTTATCAATTCTGCCCTCAGATAAATAGCCCAAAAGCTAGGAGTTGATCCTCGGCTATATTTGCACAATTCCACCGTTTTTGTAAACCAGACGGTATCTTTTGTCCAAAAAAGTTGTAGGGAGGGGGTACTTAAGATTCAAGTTAGCTCGCGTAATAATTATGTGAACCCTCATCAATCGCGAATTCATAACGTCCGCTGTCGGTCTCATTGATTCGGATATATCGTCTATCTAGCTCCCCCCCCCCCCCCAAACCACCGGAAAAAAATAATAGTAATAAAATATTGTTTAAAAATGTGAAATTCATGAAGTATAATATCCAAACTGATTGGATATTTCCAAAGTATCTTTCCCATTTATAAAAGTTCTTTATTTTGAAAGTCCACTTCCAGCGAGATGACCCCGTACCATTAGACCAAAAAAAAGTCTCCGGTTTCTGGTATGCGCGCGCGTCGCCGTAGCCATGCGCGTCGGCAAAATGAAAAGGTTTTTTTTCAATAAAAGATGATGTCTAAAAACCGCCAAACTCACTGGTTTGACTGGAATCCTGCTTCTGCACAATTTTAACGTGTTTTTAGATGGGGTTATGATCAAGAATAAGCTTTATGTGGCCTCTCTGGACTCCCATATATTTGCACTAAGTTTAGTTGGGCACCATTGGCAGTCATCAGCCGACATTTGAAGCAAAAAAAAAAGGTAAAAAAAAAAAAAAGCCGCGTCGCCGCACCACTTTTTGGGCACCAGAAACCGGAGACTTTTTTTTTTTGCCTTAGGAACACACTCTCGTAAAAGTAAGTCCGGTTAACTTATTCTTTAAGACTGATAAGGTTTGTGCACAAAACCCAGACGCTTGGGGTTTTGTGTAGATGGATTGGTGGACCATTTTTTTACGGCAACATGCATATTCCTTCCTCCGTACAGATACTGTGTGGCAAACACAAACAAATGTTAACAGAAATGTAATATATACATAGTCTACACAAACATATTCCTTTCTCAGTTCGGAATATACTGTTTGGCAAACACAAAAATATATATTAAAAGTAACGTAATAAATACAGAGTCTACACGAACATATATCATTCTTTGCTACGAATAATGGCAATCAAGTACTTTTGTCCGTAAAGATAGTCGTTACGGATAAGGTTGCCGGTTGGACCAAAATCACGTCCACTTAACCAGAGGATGCTACAGTACTGTAAGTACCAAGACGTATTTTTGTAATTGAGATTATCAAGTATTACTTTAACGGAGTTGAATGCGAGGCGTTGGCTGGCTTGAATTTTGCACAGAACTTGGAAATATATTAATAATTGCGAAATTAGCAGTTATATTTATACATCCTATTACAAAATGTACGTTACCTTGGAAGTCGACTATAAAACAGAAATATTGCAGTGCGAAAAGTTTCAGCCAATAAAAAATGCACAACAAAATGTCCATACAGCCATACAGAATTTCCATACATACTTGTTCTGCTTGATTTTACATGAACCTCTTACACTTTGAAATGCAATTTACATGTATCATAATAAACTTAGATTTTAAGAATTCATTTAAAATACTTAAACCGTACTATTTTTTTGTCGAAAGAATAAAGCTCTACTTGTTATTTGGCAAACAAACTGATCCATGATTTCAGTGGCTGGGGAAAAAAAATAAAATAATAAGCCCACATATACTTTGCAAAGCACAGAAAGTGCAGGTAAGGTGAAAGAAGCAGGGAAAGACAAAACACCTAAAATTGCTGTAAAGGACATTAAGACAACACTGACACTAAGTCACAGAGAAAAAGTGATAAAAACGTAACTGCACGTTGATTCAGAGTTAAAACCCAGGCTAATCGAAGAACCATTCATAAGAAAAGTAAAAGCAATATTCATCAATCTGTCATGATGCAGCAAAGTTTAAAACTATTTGGCATATAAATTATAAAAACAAGTCAATAGCATTCGTTTTTTTCATCAGGGCAAAAAGAAAAAAATTCAAAAGTTGTATTCAATGTAGCTACAAACTATTTCTTGAATGATATTCATCTCTGACTTCAAGTAAAATGGTCATTTTGTAAATCATGTATATATAAGAACACTATTTCATTAACCTTAACGATCCCCATCAAGTCAAAACTCCAACACCAGGGTTTGCTGGAATCTGTTGGAGTGAGTACTAGTATGAGGCTAGGTATACCACCATAATCAGGGTCCAAAGGTTATGGTGTTGAGTTTATGGTGTTGGAATTTGTAGGAGTGAATAAGTTTCCTCGTATATCAATAAAAGGGTTTAGGGTTTATAATTTGGATCATAAAATTGTAGTTATATGTATAGTATTTCATACATGTTTTTTCTTAATTGACAGCATGGCAACTGTAGTATTTTTATGTGTTGTTGGTTCAATACTCTATGTTGATAGAAATGATGAACTAAAGTAAGAGGTTTATTTCAACTTTAATTACAGACTGGTGCAATTTTGTGTTTTAATTTAATTCCCTAACATAATTTACTAGGAACCGTACCCATCCTGGCAAATTCCAACACCATATGGGAAACTGCACACACATAATTATTTTTGACCTTGATTCTGGAGGTGTGCCCAACCCAATGTAAAAAGACTGTCAGATTAGGGGTATTGTGCCCATCCTGACAGATTCCAACAAAACTGCCGTTGGGGTTTGATGGGTTGGGGGAGGTTAGGGTTTTCATGCTCATTGCGTTCGACAGCTGCAACCGCTGTTATTTCAATGTCTACATGCACGTGATACTCACTTCATTTACTGTCACTAGTGTAAATGCCAATTTTGTTTCACATACCTAAACTATGTCTTATACGAGATTTGAAGGTTTGCATGGTGGAAAGATACTAAGACAAGATAAGTTGCGGTAGCACCAAGTGAAAAATCTCTTTTGTGAGTATGTGCGGTTCTGAAGAGAACCGGAGGGACTCAACGTCTCAAACAGTATGCTCTGCCCGTCGTCAGGAGAATGAGGGATTCCAACGATGATGCGATGTTATAAGGATGGGTGCGGTGAGGCGTGAGAAGGATGCAAGTTGACTGAGGGATGCTGGATGATCACTGGAGCGTGTCAATACTCAATGAGGGGGCAAAGGGGAAGGAGCTCAGGGTATAGGTGACCCATAGGCGAGAACTGTACCTAAGTTGTCCTAGGGTATAGGAATTGAAATAATTTGGTTTGGCACGAATCAGAAATGGCTTCACCCTTAACCATGCAAGACCTGAAAACCTGCCTCCTCCCACGCGTCGGGGGTCGTGACGCCGCCCATCTCATCGTGGACCTTGAAGCTCTGAGCGTTCAGGTCATATCCGTCCTGTGGGTGCAGAGTCAGGGATTTCTGCATGGTGCCTAACTGGTTGCCACAGTAAAAAGTGCCGCATTTTATGAGACCTGCATTGACCAAACAGAGAGTTCATTTCATCATTCAGTCATTATGAAGGATGCAAGCCATTACCTGTACTTGAATAAACCATACTGATGTGCGAGCCATATCGAAACAATTTCTCAAGCTCCTCTTGGAGTGCTGCTTTTTGATCTATCAGGGGCAGCATCTCTATAACTTTTCCTGAAGAATTCTAAAATACAGGGTTTCCATCCTCGAGTTGTCCCTGAGAAATATCCAAAATTCCATGATAAATAATTTCACTTTGACATGCCCAATTTTGTTGGGCAGGCCACTGCACCCCAACTTGCCTCTCTCGGCCTAGCAGTACAAATGGGTACTGGGGAGTAACCTGTGATTGACTGGCATCCCATCCAGGGGAAGTAATGTTCTCTGTCACATGCCAAGAGATTTCCTTGGTCTGATGGGCTATATTGGCTTGTGACAGACTTTTGATGTTTTAATCTTGCAAATGAATAGTACAAGCTGTCATCCACAGTCAGCCAAACAACTTCAATGGGTAATCCCTGTAAAAGATACCCTCATTACTTATGTAGCATGATGATCAGAATGTACAATGCCCTCAAAAAATTTGCATAGATAAATCTCCAAGATAAGGTCCTCACTCACTTGCCTCTCCTGGATCCTGTCGAGTCGTTGATCCTCACATTCGTCATTTATCGCCTCCAGTTCTTTCATGGCCTTCTTCATCTTTTTAACTTTATGACAGTTGCCGCATTCTCTCTTCTCAGATCGATTCAATAAAGGCCAAGTCATTGATCCCAGATCCTGATGCGAAAATGACATCCCACATGGATTGCTTCCGTGGTAACCTGTCATCACCGGGGTCACTGTGGATGGAGTTGGTGAGCCTCCATCCTGGCCAGTGCCTGATTGTGATGATGGGTTTATTGGTCCCACTTGCATGGGTGAATGATTCTCGATGTCATCATCATCATCTGGACATCCAGGACTTTTTACTTGCTTTCAACGATTGTTCTGACTTCTGCAGAGACATGTTCCCCATCATCCTGTCGACACTGCTTCCCTGGACCAAATTAACAGAGTTTTCCTTCTCGGCACTTCCGAAGCCAGATCCTGGACTTGAAACGTTAGCAGACCCAGCAAACTTTTCTCCATGATATGAAGATGCTCGGACTTTGAGATAAGCAGCCTCGTGCGAGGGTTGCTCAGAGGGCTTATTCTGAAGGCTGGATAATCTTGGAAGTGACCTCTGCTGCGTTGACTGACCATCTCCAGAAGTTGAGATAGGAGAACCATCATCAACACTGCAGGTTCTTCTCTCGGTGTTACTTTGGCCAGCAGGAGATGGTCCTCCAGGAATACTGTTTCAGAGTCTTAGGACCCTCCTGTTTAAC